TATTTATTAATGTTGTTATCTATTTCACGTTCCATCACGAGAAGTCCACAACGGAGGTTATTGGGGGGAAATGGAAATGGACTCGCGCCTTCTTTTCATTTATGAAAAGATGTAATGTAACAAATTCGGAATAGTTCATCACCAATCCCAAGCTAATTTCATCACCGTCACCAATCCTCGTCCAAACAAAACTCTTATCATTGTCGTCGATTGAACATCATCTACAGTGGGGACTACTTCTCACTTTGTGGCCCGGATCGGTTATCACAATAAATACCAATTGAATTCTTTCCAACCCATAAATATTTACGGGAAGCTTTCCTTGATTTTTTTAACAACCATTACTATCATTTTAATTAACTCACAATAGTAAAATTTAAAATTTTGTTAAGTTAATCTAAATTACATATCCTCACGTCACGTGAAAGATGGAAATATCTAGAGGAGGAAGTGCATATTTACATTTGTTTGGATTGATCTATATTGTCATCCAATTTTCGTTTGGGGTAATCTATATTGCTCCCTAAAAATGTTGAGATAGGAAAAAGTGTTTTTCTTCTTTGCTTTTAGAGTGTTATTTTATTTATTAAATATATGGTTTGTTAATAGTGTCTATTGGTTGCAAATGTTGATATCTCCATTGCTATTAGCTAGTTTACTTTACCAATTACGATTAATTACCAATTCATTAGTTCACATTTCACAACAGCCATAAACCAATTAATTACTTCACAGCAGCAGCAACAAGTTGAAGACAACAGAGGCAAGCACTGAAGATGTTTCGAAACATGGCAGAGAAGGTATAGGGTATGTGGTTAGTATATAATGTATTGATGGTTTAGGGTATTCAATCAACAACATATACTAACTTAATAATATCGATTGAGGATAAGGCTAACTGTATAAGATATATGTTATTCAGTAAGTTATGATTGAAGTCACAATAATTTTACTAAATTTGGTAGTTAATCTTTAAGACAATTCAAACAATTTTACAAATAACTCGTTTGGCAATAGTTTACTGAAGTTATTTGGGCAATGAGTTATTTCAAAATAACTCCTTTTATCACTCTGCTTTTGCCAAATACCACAAACCAAATACCATATTTGCATGGTTATACTAAACAAGATACTTTAATCCAATTACTAGTGAAATAATACTAAAATATCAAATAAACATTTAATGGTGTCTTTTGGTTGCAAATATTGATATCACCATTACTATTAGCTAGTGTACTTTACCAATTATGATTAATTACATAACAAGTTTGCAAGTCATACAAATTGATTTAACATTTTGACTAGTTTTTTTCAAAAAAAAAAGAAAGTATATATATACGACGTAGAAATAAATTGGTTAAAAAGTTGAGAAAAATATTTTAAATTAGTGTAATAAAATGTGTAAGTTGGTAACGAGTAATGAGTAAGTTACTCGATGCGTTGGCCCGAACAACCCGAAACCCGATCCGCCCGCAACCCGCCCGGCCCAAAACCCGATGAACCCGCAACCCTTTTATCTGCAACCCGATTGAACCCGAACCCGATGAACCCGCAACCCGATTAACCCGCAACCCGTTTGAACCCGAACCTGATGAACCCGAACCCGATGAACCCGCAGCCCGATTAACCCGCAACCCGTTTGAACCCGAACCCGATTGAACCCAGCCCGAACCCGCCCGATTGACACCTATACTCCCACCTATGACCATGGTTCAAACCACTCAAGTGTATATTTTCTAGTCTACCCTCGTTCAAATTTCTGGCTCCGCCACTGTAAGTGGTAACGTTGCAACTACAAATCTACCAATTTCCGCACATATATCATAGTTAAGTGCTCGGTTTGATTACCGGGGAAAAAAAGTTCGGGTAGTGTTATCTACAACCTAATATATATCTATCTATCTATCTATCTATCTATACTAAATATTATGGTTATTCAAAAATAACTTCTTGCCACATAAGCACTTGGTGAATGCACAAGTTGCCAAAGTGGACAATTTTTTTTCAAACAAAAAACTATTTATTGATCTATTTGTGAAGTTGTCTCTCTCTTCTTTTAATAATTCTACTCATTTTTACTAAAATTAAAATAAGTTAATTTTTTAGGAAACATTTAAACAAAAAACACACACATAAGTAATAAAAAAAATTCGATAAAACAAACTATAAAGATGGAAACAGAGAGTGACATATATTGTATTTGTTTAACCCAAACTGATTAAATCCGATTAAGTAAATTTTCTACTCATTTTTACTAAAACTTAATAATAAGTTACATTTTGATGAAGAAAAAAAACAAGCACACACATAAATATTAATATTTTTCAATACAAAATATAAACAATAATCTAAGAGAAAATAAACGTTTGACAATCAATCGACTTTGAGAAATGAACGATATGACTATATGATTTTTGCTATCAAACACTCACTTCTTTCTTATGTATATACCTATCAAATAAAACAAGTATAAATTATATAGCAAAATGTCTGAATATAAACTTGACAGAGCAATAATTGTTATTTTTTAAAAAACTTCTTATTCATTTCGATTAAATGAAAACATATTAATTATTAATGCAAACTTTTAATTTGTTTCTATCCCTTTACCCATTTTGATTGTCTCTCTAGAAATAAAATCCAACATTGAAAATAAGAAATCAAGAAAGTATGTCAACCACCATAAAAATAAACAAAGCTCTCTTATTAGTTGCTAAATTTTTTGAAATTTCTAATATTTGTATTCTCATAATTTATAGAGAAGGAAATGGTAATGCATACGATTTTTTTTCTTTGTATGAGAATAGGAGGCAGAAATAACACGAGACAACGATAAGATGACAAAATTTTGAGCAGTTGTAACATATTTTTGCCTGTTGACGAAAAAAGTTAATATGATCATTGTGAAAATGAGGTGAACCAAGCCGAGGGTTGTCGACTGCCCCCTCTTCCTCCTTGATCTAAAGCTGGCAACTGGTCTCACTTTCTCAACGATATGTAATTGTTTGCGGTTGACTCGCCGAGTTATACTCTTTTTCCCATTATTTCTTAATTTCTTCCAAATTACGACTGCTGGATGGTAAATTTTCCCACTCTCGATGAGTGAATATATTTCTTCTTTGTTTTTTTATTGAGAATGGTCGCCATATACTTTCATGTATATAAAATATAATTAGACGGGTTAATTGGTTGGACATAAGGCATACCTCCTTTGGTTGAATAATTGATCGTTTTTCTTGAATGCCTATTGCAACTCGATTTCTTGAATGTTGAACTGGAAAGTAGAGTTGTGATGATTGTTTATTATATTGTATGTTCATGATTGACATGCTACTACTAGCTAGCTATACAATGATGATCTGGTTAGTAATAAATAGGTAGCAAAGGGGTTATAAGTAGAAGGGAACATAATTGGGGTTTTATAAAGGTCGCGAAGAAGAAAGAAAATGATAATGGTGGTTTCTTGGTTGTCTATTTCGATGATTTTTTAATTTCTACATGTTTGCGGTGACATTTGTTTGTTTCATTAAGGTTAATTTTTCTGTCTTGAATCCCTAACTAAAGATTGATTTTGACATGATTGTTTTCTTACAAACTACTATTTGGATTTATGCATATATTCAGTTCACAAATAAGGAATCTGAATGATAAAATGAGTTGAGTTGTATTGAAGACTGCTCCTTTCATTATTTGTCTATGTTGTTATTAGGTAATAAAGCACAATTCTTTTCTGCAGGAGATATGTAGCTCTCTACAAAATATAAATTATGTTTAATTATATGCAGTTTAATTTGCTGAAAATATTGCTTTAATAAGTTAGTGACAGCTGATAGTTTTGTTTGTGGTTGGTTTTGCTAGAACATTTCAAGGTAATTAAACAAGTATGTGGAAGATTGATGGACGTTGATGCTAATGAGTTTCCTCATTATTCCAAAATTGTATGTGTAAGTGATAATACACGATATTCATGGTATTTAGATCGGAATATTCTCTATTATCATATACCGACATATGAGAAGGGAGAGAAAATTAAAAGCTCTTCGCTTATTTTTTTTATTAATTGAAGCACATTATTTTATTCTAACTTCTTCTTTTGTGGCCGTAAGTTTTTCAACTTCTTTATCACAATTCTGTGCTAAAGAATGAATAATCTCTTATGTTAATAATCTTAAAGGGCGAGTTCGATAAAAATAAAAATCTAAATAAATAAAGAACCGTTTATAAAGAGCCCAGTTAATAAAATTAAAATGTTCATAAATAAAAAAGGTATAAAAGTATGAAATAATACCTGAAATAAGGTAAGTGGGATTTACAATTCCATGTATATTACCTTAGCAAACATAAATAATAATAACAATTAGAATACTATAACGAATTATAAAACAACCAAACAAAATAATAACAACTAGAATACTATAACGAATTATAAAACAACCAAACAAAATACACCGCCCAACGGGCGGGTAAAAAACTAGTACTTATAATACGCAGAAGGGAAAAACGGGAGCCCCATTTCAAATTTCCTGCAACGAGAGTGAAAGTAGGAAGGACATTTTGGTCTTCACAATTACTTTTTTTATTCATTAAAAAGATACATACTGGGATTCGAACCATGACCATTTTAAAGAAAGGCAAGGATCATAACCAATCACACTAAGTACATTTTTTGTATCACTTTAAATTAAAAACATATAATAGCAGGGTGTAAAAAACTCTTCCCCCATTTCAAATTCCCTGTTCCAGGAGCGTTTGTAGGAAGGGTAGAATAAGGAGTGTCAATTTTTTTTCTCTTTCCTCTGTGGAACGGGCCAACTTACCGTACACATGCGGATTTAAACGGGTCTAGGAGTGTCAATTTTTTTCTTTATACCCTTTTATTTCTCCATGGTGATAAAATATATATGAGAAGGCAAAAACAATACTTATTTTTATTGCTAAAAATAAAAAATTTAACAATAAACTAATGCATGGTATATAATGGGCTAACCGCTAACCATAAAATAAAAGAGTTGAATGGGCCGGACCTACACGGGATTTGGCCATCAAGTAAAACAAATGAACATCATTGGTTTGACATTCTAAAACAAGCTATTTTCTCTGGCATAATATATATTATGCTATTATTATATATCTTAGTGGCTAAAATATAATGTATTTTAAAGTTATTCAATGGTTCAACCTCGACCAACCCAATTAGTCCAATTTTTATCATTTCAAATATATATTATATAATTATTTGATATCATAATGATAAAATTATAGTGTATTTTATAGGGAATCGTTTGGTATTTGTTAGTAAAAAACTAAACATAAAGATCTATTTGGTTATTTTAAACATTAAAACGATCCTAAACATTTTCAGTTCCTTTTGAATTTCTATGGTTTTATTCCCGAATAAGTGATGTGCAAATGGCGAATTGCAGTCATCTCTTTTCTTTCACTATTTTTTATTTTCAAATAGAAAGTTTAAAAGTAACGAATAATTAGAATTTTGCATGGGTCGGTCAAACAGGCTGAATTTTAAGTTTTGGCCCGTTTTGATCAAGTCTAATTTATAATCACATGGTTCCCTGATACCCGATAAAAATCTCAATCCAAACCAGTTTGGCAGGTGAGTCCGTGTTTACCACCATTTTCTAGGAATACGACAACGATTCCTATCCCAAATCGTGTTGTTCGTTCTTTATTTCCTTAGATTTTATCATGGCCTGAAAAAAACCAGAAAGCACAATGACGACAAGATGAAAGTTTTATAAAGCAAATTAATGGTGTTCTCTTTCTGATCTCATGTAATTATTTAATGAAGTTGAAGTTTTTCGATGCTATTCAATTTCATTGGTATGTTTTTAATGGTCTAACTTCATGGTTGTACCAACTTCTGATGTACTGTTTATGTTCCAATATATTCACTTTGGTATGATTATTAGGGATATGCTAGGCGGTACTCACCATTAGGCCAATTTAACTTAATGGTTGAATCTACGGGTTATCCCAATAATTCAATATTCGGCTCAACTCCTCCGACCAACGGGTGGGGTTATAAGCTAATGAATTATGATGTTTCCTCAGCCAAGGGCTGCGGTTATGATTTATGAAGCACACGACGACTTAGCAGCCCTTGCTTTGCTTTTGCAGCAGCGGTAATAAACAAAGACAAAGTCAAATGGAACGACGCCGTTTTCGCGAACCGGGATCGTGGAGCAGTGATTCGCAGTTTCGCACGTGTATGTCTCTCCATCGTTAGTTACTCTCTCCCGTCTTCCTCCATCCACGCCATTCTGATTTCCCCCAGACGTTCAATCGCTCGACGAAGGAGGAGAAATTCACGCCAGAGTTCAGCCTGAAGCACTCGAAGCTTGATCTAGGCGAAGCCGGAAAATGTCGAGTGCGTTGATAGTCGGTGATGCGAGCTCCTGGGCTCGAGCGCTCGTTAGGATCTCTCCTTACACTTTCTCCGCCATCGGTATCGCCATCTCCATCGGAGTCTCTGTCCTCGGTGCCGCCTGGTACTGCTCTTTCTTTCCCCTCCTTTACTTTGCGTTCTCTTACTTTTCTCACTTGTACCGCTGCATCTTTCTCTGGTTTACTGTTGTTTTCTGGGCTCTTGTGGATGTGCTGCGTGACATGCTTTTATTCGATATGATTTGATTGGATGGGAATTTCCAGGGGGATCTACATTACCGGGAGTAGCTTGATCGGAGCCGCCATTAAAGCTCCTCGGATCACCTCTAAGAATCTCATCAGGTGCCAAATTCTTGCAATTTTCGGATTTTTGCTTCACTCCATTTTTTTTAGAGTGTTGTTGGAGTTAGTTAAGGCATCGATATTGTAGCCCCAGGTATGAGATTCTGAGCTTCCAGTCCTTTCTTGCTATTTTTGTCTAGTATTCTGAATGCTGGAATTCATGATGATTTATCCATTGGTATGTAGACTAGATGCTGCAACTGAGTTAGATGGTAGGCTCATTGTATAAGTTGGCTGGTTCTTGCTCTTGAACTTGGTCCCATGGACGAACTTCACTTGCATTTATGTTTCTGTGAACTTGGGAATCTCGTATGGTTGAAAAGCGAAGTACTTCCTGATACCCGTAGAAGTTCATTCAAGTTATATGGCATTGGAGTACTGGTGACCATTTGCATAATGAGCTTGGAGCTTGTACCGGAGACTGTTTCCTCTAGATGGGGGCTAGGATCTATATGACGCACTTTGTGCACAGCTGCTGCACCGCTTTGGTTGATGTAAATTGGAACCTCGGGAACTTTGAGTCTACAAGGATCTAGCTATGGTTTGGATGAGAAGTATCGTTTTATGATTTTCTGTTTCAATGCCTGTATAGCCTTTGCCTTCCTTTTTATGGCTCTTGATGGCATATTCTTTTTCTTAGCAGTTTATATGAACTTGAGAACATTTGTAATTTCTCTTGGAGGATGATCTGTTTGAATTTGCTGTTCATTTTCAGTGTAATCTTTTGTGAAGCCGTTGCCATATATGGTGTTATCGTGGCAATCATCCTGCAGACGAAGTTGGAGAGTGTTCCGGCTTCACAGATATATGCTCCGGAATCCCTTAGAGCTGGATATGCAATTTTTGCATCTGGGATTATCGTTGGCTTTGCTAACCTTGTTTGCGGGTACGTATATCCATTCTCTAGTTGAACTACCATCCACAGTTAACTTCCAGAACAAGTTTCGCATCTGGGATTATTGTTGGCTTTGCTAACCTTGATATGATTAACAGGGTGTGCGTGGGAGTTATAGGAAGCAGCTGTGCCTTATCTGATGCCCAAAACTCCTCACTTTTTGTGAAGATACTCGTGATTGAGATCTTTGGCAGTGCTCTTGGATTGTTTGGGGTGATTGTGGGCATAATCATGTCTGCTCAAGCTTCATGGCCTTCCAAAGTGTAAGAATGTGTTCGTGCAACTATTTAAGAATCGAGTTATCCCGGAGTGCAATATCTTATGATCCCCAAACTGTACTGTGTATCTTATTCTTTGAATGGTTGTGAGAACTTGTACGCAAATGAGGTCTTTTTGTAAATTAGTTTCATCCAACTTGAATAAACCCTAGGGCAATGGAGTTATTGATCAAATTCCATTGCAATGCTCTAGTTTAGCAATAATCCCCGTTCCCTAATAGTGTCTTTCCAGGAGTTCCTTCGGGCGAACTATGAATTTTGCAACCCTAGAATATTGATAGTCCTACTTGAATACCGCCACATAAACTGTTTTAGCAATTACTTTACTAGATACGCATAGCCACATTACCTTAGCAATGGGTTATTTTTACTAATGGATGCTCTTACAAATCCAGATGATTGCTCTTACAGTACAGATTACTGGCGTGGATAACTTGATCACCAGAGCTACATTACCAATAACCAAATCAATGCAGAGAAAGAGGAGCACTAGAAAATAAGGGCATGTTTTTCTGCTGAATCTCTTCACAATCCAGCGATCTAGCTGCCTTTGGATCAAAGAGCTTCCGATCAGGAACACTCAACCGTTGCTTGATCCTTCCCACATGCCGCGAATGGATGACCTGCTTGGAAATCACCGGCAAACGAATCTGCTGATACTCATCGAGACCCGAGCTCAAATTCTCAACCCCCGACTTCTCGACGCACTTCCCTAACACTGCTGCATCTAGAATTGACATGTTCGTGCTTCTCAGGCAGTGTGGAGTTGTAGGGTGAGCTGCATCACCAACCAACACCACATTGTCCCAGAAGAGCTTCTCCAAGGGCTCACAATCATATATCAAGTTCAGGAACGGCTCCTTTGTCTCCGCCATAACTCTCACCAGTTCGGGAGTCCAAACTTCCTCTGCTTTCTGGATCATGTCTTGGATCATCTCCTTGCTTACTTTCATCGTCACTGAACTCCCCTTCAGTTCGGGCTGTGGATGATGAACGTACCAAATCCAATTGAGCCGCTTGTTGAGAAGCTCGTAGAACACGCTGTGAGTTCCCTTGGTGCTAAGATCGAAATACAAACACTTACCCAGATCGGGATACGCCCTACGAATGCCTGTAATGGTGTCGGAATCTTCATTCTCTGAGAAATCAAGCACGCCTCTCCATGCGCAGTAACCGGAATACCTAGACAGAAAATGGGGAACAAAAGGCATCTCCTTTAGTAATAAAAACTATAGCAGCTTAGCAGCTAGTAAGTACTAAGTAGTAGCCATGAGCAAACAAACCTCAATTCCAGGTCAGGGAGGAAAGCCCGACGAACGGCGGAGAGACACCCATCAGCGGCCACAAGCAAATCCCCATTAATCTCGACGATCTCCCCGGTTTGGAGAGTTCTGGCCTGAACAGAGACCGATGGTTTCGAGTTATCCTGAGAAATGCTAAAGGAGAGGTAGAGATGGCCCCATAGAAACGAAGCTGCTTCCGGAGGCAAAGCAGTGTACAGGAGGTGGTGAAGATCAGTCCAGTGAGCTGCTCTGAAATTGAACTCTTCGTCTCTGGCAAGCACCCAACTGGATTTCGTTTCAGCATCGGTCGCCTGGTTCTGCTCCAAGAAACAAATCCAATGAAAATAAAAATAAAAATAAAATTGGTGGCTGAAAATTGAAGATAAGGTGTTTGTGAAAATCACTCACTGACCTGGTCGATGGTGAGAGGGAGAGTGGATTGGTGGAGAAGGTCTGGAACTGGAAGCCAGGAAGCGATGATTTGGCGCGACTGAGGGTCGAGTCCAAGTCCGGCGCCGGTTGCGCTGCCGGTAGGTGGACTGGGTGATTTCTCGACCACCGTCACTTTCCATCCGGCGTGGATTAGGGAGTGGGCGCAGCATACTCCGGCGATGCTTCCACCGACAATTATTGCCTTCGGCATCTTCTTTTCCTCCTCTTCTTGCCTTCCCCAATTCCCACCGATCAGTTGACAGTTGGCGGTGTTTTGTTTAACGGAGTACTGGTTTTGGGCCACTCTTCATTATTTAGACCAGTGGGCCCAATATGGCCAGGCCCACAACACACGAGAAAGCTGGCTGGATACGCCTCTTCTCTTCTTCTTCCTTCTCTTGTCCCCAAAAGACAGATCCCGACGAACAGCAGCAGCTAGCGAGGCCGCCGCGGGTTTAGCCAAATCTAGGACAAAATCTCCAGAATTCTTACGCAGGCGGAGGCTTTTACTCCGCCGCCGCCTTCTCACTTTCCTTCCTTATTTCGGCTGGAACAAAATCTCAAATGGGGGCGGGCCGGGAGATGTCGATATCGTTAGATGGCGTGCGGGACAAGAACGTGATGCAGCTCAAGAAGCTCAACACCGTCCTTTTCCCCGTCCGTTACAATGAAAAGTACTACACCGACGCTCTCGCTTCCGGCGACTTCACCAAACTCGGTACTGAATGAGATTGTGTCCCCAAATTGTTTCACCGACTGTACTGATTGGGCTCCTCGATTTTTCCTTTTCGCGGTGTTTTTGCTTCTGCGTGTGGTTTCTTGATCGATTGTTTCGCTCATTTGGTGTTCGGGGTTGCTGGTTGTCGTTAGGGTTTTCTGTGCCCCTTTGAACTGGAAACTGGAATAGCTATGTACAGAACAAAGCTTGTATGCTTAGGCAATCTTCTGAAACTATGATTTTCCAAATGCTTCTACTTGGGTCATTGTTTTTGCTAGTGTTTCGTATTGATGAACAGCAGTAAGGGAGAGTGAATGCTTGGGTGGAGCCCTTTCTTGAACTTGCATGGTTTTCATTCATATCTTTGAGCTTGTTTTAGCTCTAAGTAGACTGTACTTCCTGACTGTCTTAGGTTGAAGAGGGGTTCCCTTAGCTCTTTGTTGATTATAATGCCTTTATTAAAGTTGAAGGCTTTTTGTGTCAAACTGTTGATCAATGTTCCTAGAATGCTAGGAATCCACTTGGGTTTGCTTCTCCATCCATCCATTTTGTCTCACCCAACTCTTGGTGTGGTCTCCTTGTTCAGCATATTACAGTGATATCTGTGTTGGTGCCATCGCATGTCGCCTGGAGAAGAAGGAAGGCGGTGCTGTCCGTGTTTACATCATGACCTTGGGCGTGTTAGCTCCGTATCGTGGGCTAGGCATTGGTGAGTCGGTCAGCAAGCCTCAAATTAGTTTTTTGGCCAGAAAACACAGTTGGTGTTTGCTTCTGTTGTTATTCCGTAATAATATGATCTACATTGCTTCAGCTGTTAGTGGTAGTAGTTGACTAACCGCTTATTAGTGTGCTATTGTGAAACAATATCTAGCCATAGGCATATCTTAAACAAAACTCTGAACTTATATGTGCAGGCACGAAACTGTTGAATCACGTTCTTGATCTCTGCTCGAAGCAGAACATTCCCGAGATATACTTGCACGTGCAGACAAACAATGAAGATGCTATCACCTTCTACAAGAAGTTTGGGTTCGATATTACGGAGACCATCCAGAACTACTACACGAACATTACGCCGCCGGACTGCTACGTTGTTAAAAAATCCGTTACTCCTGAGACAAAGAAATGACATGGTTGATGGGTTTAGAGCTAGTTGGCATCCCTCAGCAGTAAATTTATAGTTTTTGAGTTTTGTATCTTGTTACTGCGGGGTTAAGGTGGTGGTTCGCCATTGTTGAAGGTTCGTTCTTAGCTGTCACTTGAGTCATTGTAGTGCAAGAAGAAGGACCCCCTAAAAATTTTGTATTGTTCAAGCAAGCGCTGGCTGGCACACTGAACTCCTTTCTTCAGATTGTCTGAATTTCTGGTACTTAAGGTATTCAAAGAGATTTTTCTTTTGCAGTTTTACTGCTTTCAGGATGGTGGTATTGGTTGTTTGGATTACAGTCAAAGCAATCATCCTCTTCTGGCGATTGCCTGTCACCCATACCCGCTTGCTAGAACCGGTTCTGTTTCAAGGTTACAAAAATCACATCACAAATATACAAATTAGAAACAATAATGTCAGATCATTGGCGATCTGGAATCGAACATATACCTCTTCCACTAACAAGCTGCTCATAATGTTCTTCTCCTTATGAACCAAAGGTACTCTCTCCCTCTTTATTTAATTTCTTTTAGTTGATGATTGAGACTGTAACTGTGGTGTTGGTTTTGCTAACATTTTGCAGTTAAATTTATCTGAAGTAGATAAAGATAAGGGATCAGGAACGGCTTCTTCTGAGATAAGAGTCAAGTACTTCTGTAGAAAAGATACACGTCAAGGATCTCTCATTATCCCGTCAAGTATCTTGCTCCTGGACCTGGAGGCTGGAGCAGAGCATTGCATTCTTTGCAGCCAATTTCCAACAGTGCAAGTGGATCTAGTAGCACAAACCAAGGAGAAGATAAACTAGAATCCGAATTTACACAAGTGTAAAGCAATTTCACAGCAGTAATAACGAACGCAGCCTGCATTTTCTGCAGTAGATGATGAAGACACAACACAGCACAGTACAACAGTAATAATGAAGAGAAGGCCAATGAAGAAATCTTGTGGTGCATGTGAATTGTGATGCTGGTCTGGTCAGGTCAGGTCACAAAAGTCAATGTAGAGGAAAGAGTATACACTTTCTACTTCTACCCGGTTCATGCAAATCTTGTCTGTACATGAATTCCTCCATTTGTTTATTTCATTTCTATTTTGAATTACCAAAAAAAAAGTATAATATGACAGGAACGAATTTTGGACGCTGCACTGTTAAAACTGTATCACTGATGAAGAATAAAACTAAACCTTCATCAGTAAACTAGTGTTACAGTTCTAAGTCTTTAAGTTTTAATGGTCCAGTTTTGGACCTAAGTGTTAGTTTGTTGCGATACGATTCAATACGAACCAACCCATTGTACACTTATACTATAAACTAGTGTTTGCGAAAGGTACCACATGAGCGATTTGACATGAGACCAAGTTGGTTGGCGAGTTTAGCCATATGAAAATATTGAAATATACGGTCCGATTTGATTCGCTCAAATAATTGATTTGATAAAAATAAATACAATTTCAAAAAATTTCATTGGAACAGCCGGATTTGGACCTATCCGATACAAACCAACTCTTTGTGCAGTGTTACTCAAACCGGTGTTTGCGTAACAGTATCATATGAGAGTCCGATCTAACAAACCTCCTACGGTAACCCAAACCGATGGACAAATTAAAGGTACAAGAACTGAACGATTAAACCAAAGATGAACCATAGTTTCAAATGACCCTACTACTGAATTTCCGCACAATAAATTGTGAGAAGACTTTTATCAAAATTTTGTACTTTCGATTTGAATGTTTGAATAATCTGACCCCACGCCATCCCCAAACAAATTCCCCACTTGTTCTGTTCTGTTTCTGTTACATATCGGTGTTTTTTCCTCACTCCTACTATCAAGGAACCGCAGGACAACGACGACTCTGTCTTCTCCTTCCCCTGTTTTGTTTAAAATCCCCATCTTGGAGCACGCCACTACCATTACTCTTCCTCCTCCGCCAATGAAATAGCACAAATTTCCAGCTCCTTCCTCCTATCTTCGTCTACATTTCTCCATTTCACGATGTCAGTCCTCTCTCTCTCTCTCTCTCTCTCACATTCATTTACTGGCTTCCCCTGCATGCATTACCCTCTGTTCTAATTGATTCAAGTCCGCATTTCTATAGATCTGGTTTTGTGATTAGATAAATTCATTGTTGAAGCTTCCACGTTTTTGTGCAGGAAAGAGGGGAAGCAAGGTTAAGGCCTTTCCGTTTTCCCGCATTCCTCTGATTCGTGTGGGATTGCCGAAAGTTTCGAGCTTTTCCGGGTTGTTGCTCTGTTTGGTTCCCAAGAAAAGAAAATCCCCCACCTTTTCCCACAATCCCAAGCATCTAATTTGTTGCGTGGTAGTAAGCAAACTAGCACAGCACAAATACCCAGATAGGAAAAACAATGTCGAAGCCAAACCCAAATCCCCAATTGATTCCTCCATCCCAATCACGAACCAAGCTCCCAGATTTCAAACAAACAGTGAAGCTCAAATACGTCAAACTAGGTTACCATCACCTAATCACCCATGGGATGTACCTCTTTTTATCCCCACTAGCCCTGCTAATCTTCGCGCAGCTATCCACATTCTCAGCTCAAGATCTCCAAGACCTATGGAATCACCATCTCCAATCCAACCTATTCTCAGTAATCCTATGCACCACCCTCATAGTCTTCTTCCTGACCCTCTACTTCCTAACTCGCCCTCGTCCAATCTACCTCGTAGACTTCTCCTGTTACAAGCCCGACGACGCCAGACAATGCACCAGACAGATCTTCATGGACAGGTCGAGCTTAACCGGCACTTTCACCGAGCAAAGCCTCGATTTCCAGCGCAAGATCCTCGAAAGGTCCGGTCTTGGTGAGTCAACTTACCTCCCACAAGCTGTTCTCAATGTTCCGCCTAATCCTTGTATGGCCGAGGCTAGGAAGGAAGCAGAAACTGTGATGTTTGGTGCAATTGATGACTTGTTTGCCAAGACTAAGGTGAAGCCTAAAGATGTTGGCATCTTGATAGTGAATTGCAGCTTGTTTAACCCTACACCATCTTTGTCTGCCATGGTGATTAACCACTACAAGCTTCGTGGCAATGTGAAAAGTTACAATCTTGGTGGGATGGGGTGTAGTGCTGGCTTGATCTCGATTGATCTCGCTAAGGATCTTCTCCAGGTGAATCCAAATTCGTACGCTTTGGTAATTAGTATGGAGAACATTACATTGAATTGGTACTTTGGGAATGATAAGTCAATGCTTCTGTCGAATTGCTTGTTCCGAATGGGAGGTGCTGCAATTTTGCTCTCGAATAAGAGTTCGGAGAGGAGGCGTGCCAAGTATAGTTTGGTTCATACTGTGAGGACCAACAAGGGGTCGGACGATAAGTGCTTCTCTTGTGTTACTCAGAGGGAAGATTCAGAAGGCAAAGTCGGGGTTTCATTATCAAAGGAGTTGATGGGAGTTGCAGGAGATGCATTGAAGACCAACATCACTACGTTGGGCCCGCTCGTGTTGCCAATGTCTGAGCAACTGCTCTTCTTTGCTACATTAGTGGCAAAGAAGCTGCTGAAGGTGAAGGTGAAGCCTTACATACCAGATTTCAAGCTGGCGTTCGAGCATTTCTGCATTCATGCCGGAGGGAGAGCTGTGCTGGATGAGCTTGAGAAGAACTTGCATCTCTCGGATTGGCATATGGAGCCTTCAAGGATGACTTTGTACCGGTTTGGGAACACGTCTAGCAGTTCGCTGTGGTATGAGTTGGCTTATACTGAAGGGAAAGGTAGAGTGAAGAGAGGAGATAGGATGTGGCAGATTGCTTTCGGGTCTGGGTTCAAGTGCAATAGTGCGGTGTGGAAGGCTCTGCGCACTATAAACCCAGCTAAGGAGAAGAACCCGTGGATGGATGAGATTGATCAGTTCCCGGTCGATGTACCTAAAGTTGCTACACTCAACTGAGAGAGAGTTCTAAGTTAACAACAGCTATATTTTATCTCATCCCTCTCGCAGGGTGTTTGAGTTATGATAGAGACATCAAAGTTTACTCTTAACGTAGTTGAGAAGCTTTGTTGTGTTCTTCCCCCCTGTTGTAACCTGTTTCGTTTTTCAAATCTAGTGTAGGTTGTTAACTTAAGCCAGTAGACTGTCAAATGGTTAGCAAATGAATAAGGGGTCGTTTGAGTGATGAGATTTAGTCACTGTGTTGAGACTTTTTATCGTTTCGATGATCAGTTTAAGATTAATGGAAGTGTTTCAACGGGACAAGCAGCAAGCCATTCATGTCATATACAACATTCAAAATATTCCAATCGAAGGTAAGTTTGTATAACTATCATCAATCCGAGTTTTTAAGCACAATGTACAATCAGACCGAACCCGGAATCCCACAATGGAATAATCTTAACAATACAGATGGCGCCGAATAAACTAATCATATGAATGAATGAATGACCTTTTCTTTTCGGGTTTCCATTCAGTCCTTGGCGGACTTGTTGATTAGAGACTTGTGGATGTGAGGGATGACACCACCTCCAGCTATGGTTCCTTTAATGAGGGTATCAAGTTCTTCGTCTCCTCGGATTGCTAGCTGCAAATGCCTTGGCGTTATACGTTTAACTTTCAGATCCTTGCTTGCATTACCAGCCAGCTCCAGCACTTCTGCAGTTAGGTACTCCAAGATTGCTGCAGAGTAAACTGCTGCAGTGGCACCAACTCTTCCATGAGCAGTGGCCCTTGATTTCAGAAGGCGGTGTATTCGTCCCACAGGGAACTGCAAACACGATGAAATCAAAAATACAGGTCAGAAGGACAGAGAAACCGAAACATAGTACTAAGGAACTAAGTTACATTGTAACTTGAATAAGGATTCAAGACTACAGCCAAAAAACACCAAGGAATAGCAAGCCAAACAACATGAAAGCTTGAGAATTTTGATTCAGAAATCAGCAGATGTGTTGTAATGGCTAGCACCCTGATATCACACAAGTTACAGGATTGGCAAACCGCCTTCCGACTAAATCAAAGATCAAAGACACAGATGAATTCCATGCGCTTGAGACATGAGGACGAGTGATGATGAATACCACAAGTACGAAGCAAGTTATACTCTCAGAACCGGTTATGCTAACCCTTTTGCGTCTTCTCAGAACCAGTTAATGCACAGAAAGTCGGAAATTTAATTATTTGAAACAACTACAAGGTCTCTTCATCGTCGAGGTGAGTGTCAACTAGCTGGAATCATCACACACATGGATCATAATCCCAGACCAAGAACACCATCACTCTCTCGGCCAAGACGAGCAGTGGTATCCAGAACCCTAATGATAAACAAGACAGCATACGGGAACCTCAAGAAGCAACACTCCACACGGAATTCACCAAACCCAATTACTAAAACAATTGATTAACATTGTTCAATCAATTTCCCATCCACGCCATCAGCTCATAAATCATCCGGACAAAGAACATTGGCACAGACTGAATCAACGAAACCCAGCTAAGAAATCGGAATCCCAATTCGGAAGAACAATCGAAACCCTCGACGGACATCAATAAAGCCGAATATAGACGAATAAGAGAGATTCTAGAGAAAGAAGGGGAGAAGAACCTGAAGGCCGGCGCGAGAAGAACGAGAGGTGGGCTTCTTCTTGTCTTTGTCTTTGGATTGAGCTGCGGCTTTCCCAGCCATCAATCCTTTCGCGCCTTTTCCCGACATCCCTTTTTATCGATGTTGTTCTCCAACAACAATGACAGCAAGAGAAAGAGATCGATCGAGGAAAGGTTGTGTCTTGGCTCCGTCGTTCGGTAGATCTTTGGTGGGTGAGAGAGAAAAGAGTCGACGACGCGGAGATGGATTGGAAAGTACGAAACTGCCCGCCAAACTAACTTTTTATACCGTAAGAAACTATGCCACCGCCATGGTTCTCCCTCTCCTTTTTGTTATTATTATTATTTTTTTTTACGGGTAAGAACTTCCTTTTATTCCAAACCCAAACATGGAAGCAAGAAACATTACAAGATGGGTGCAATGATGTTACAAATAAGGATCCAGTCCATCGGTAACGCACACAACCTAGCATCTACGGCAACCCAATCCGCAAGTGAATTCAAACGCCTAGGCACAAACTCGACTTTGATCCACGAAGCTGATTGGAGGATCGAACACATGCGAGCAATTGTCGCACGACATTGTCAAGGCCAGTGGATCGGATCCTGACGCAAAGCAATAGAGAGAACCTGGCAATCCGTATGGATACACGTAGGAATCTGATCTTGCGATTCAATCAGGATGGCATTGAAGAGACCAAATGCTTCCGCTTGACTGGGGTAGGAGCAAAGTCTCATTTTTCTTATCGTTGATGGCAGTTTTGGTCCTTTACTATGTCATTGTTAACGAATATGCCCTTAAATATAGATAGGATTAATACACCTGCATAGTTATAACTATCCATTTTGTGACAATAATAGTCAAATTTTAGAAAATCCACAAATATAGACACGCTTTTGAAATATGGTTGACAATTTTAGCCATTTCTGTTACAAACTTTAACACCGTCAAGTACGTCATCGGTTAAGTTGATGTTAAGTTGATGTAGATGCCACTTGGACGACACATCATCCCCAACTAGACTTGTCATGCCACGTGGATGCCACGTCGTATTATAAAAAATAAAAATAAATCCCAAAAATTAATTTTCTAGAAATAAAATATTATTTTAATTTTTTATTTTCCTTAATCTTTCGTTTTCTTTTTCAGATCTGAGGCACAACACAATAGACCTTCATCTTCTCGAGCGAGACTCCCGACGCTTAGAGCTTCCACCCACTGGACCCAATTCCATCTAAATCTTCCACCACCACCGCTATAGCTTCTCTATGCGAATCAACTTCTATTCCCTGAAGGCTCTCAATCTCTCCAGCAAGCTCTGGATTTCTCGATGAAGGAAATTGGAAGAGGTGGTGGCAGATCTAGAGAAGATAGGCGACTTTTCAGTTTGCTTTTCGCCTCTGTAGGATTTGGAAGTATAGGCAATTTGTGAGAAGACCTCTACTTTCTTTACTTCCTCATCATTCTTCTTCGTCTTCCTTGGCGGTGGTTGGAGTTTGGATCAGCAAGGATCCCTGATGCTTGGTGACAGCGCTGAAAAGGGTGTTTCTCTCATGATTTTCACCGCAATGTCTCGACGATCGGCGCTGCCTAGTGGCTCTCATTCTCGCCGATCTGTTTCACTCATATATGAATGATGAACAGAGGGAGAAGGGAGATGAGAATGAGAATGGTGGTGGAAGGCGACATAAGAGAAGTGGGTTCCTCTGCATCCACCCACCAATTTGGACGAACACAGATGATGTCGGTTCAGGCGACGGTAAACTCCCGATGAAGCAAGTTGATACGGAGTCTCCACCCACCAATCTCGCCTAGACACTACCGATATCCACTGCATCCATCAATATCGTGACTGTCTCCGTTTTTGATGCCATCACTTGGATTGCCTTTCCTTTGGGTCTCTACAAATCACTGCAACTGTGTCTTTTTTTTCAATTCAAGGTTGCGATAAGATATTAGCGGGGTTCTGATTCGGGTCCAAATGTACACATTTTGCCCCCCATATCTTGATAGTTCGACTTTGCATATCATCGTTCCTCGACATATTTCATGCTAGGTTGCGCTTGTTTTAATACATTTTAGATCCTAGCACGTGTGGAAGGGTCGAGGTCGAATTTTGGGATAATTGGAGGTCAAAAAGCACAAAAAATCGAAGAAAATTCCGAAACCCGTAACAGTGAAGTGCAGGTGTCGAGGAAGCAGTCGTAGTTCACGGTCAAACAAGGGAGTTCATGGTCTCCTAAGACTGTGAACTGGAGCCACAACCCGTGAACATCGAGCAGTACAGCGAGGTTTCAGAGGTTACTGACGCCAGGCGAGTTCACGGTCGCTAAGACCGTGAACTGGGGCCATTAACCTTGAACCCAGGAGAGCGAAGCGGTGCGTTTTGGAGACGACTGAGTTCACGGACGCGTTTTGTTGTTCACGGCTGTGAATTGGCCAACGCGGCTGTGAACTGGTCACTTTCGGGCAAATATGAAGACAATAGCGGGGAGAGAGATAGAGAGCTTCATTTTTAGGCTAGGTTTTCATTTTTCAGAATAAAGAGGATTCTAGTGAGAGGTTAGGATTTCTTCTAGAGGGAGAAAGTGCAAATCAAAGGAGGAAGAAGGAGCTTTGGGCTTCTTCCTAGCTAGAGGATTGAAGATTCTCATCTCAAGGGTGTCTCAAGCAACAAAGAGGAAGGATTGGCATCACTTCATGGTTCTTTTCTTTCCCTTTTGTTGTTTTCCTTTGTCTATCTATGGAATAGCCTACCTACTCACTTGGGTATGGTGAACCCTAGTCTCTCTATGTGTTAGGATGTAAGAACATGTGTCACAAATCGGGCTGCTCCATTAGTACGATATTGTCCGCTTTGGGCCAAGCCCGCACAGTTTTACTCTTGGGTTTCCTCCCCAAAAGGCCTCGTTCTAATAAACTTGGTGGACACTTATATACAAGGGTTCCTTCCCTTGTATTACCGATGTGGTACTTGGATTGTCCCATAACAATCCTCCCCTCAAGACAAGGACCACGAACTTCTTGTCCTCACCTCAGCGATTATCTTGATCCACAAGACACCTTGTATCGATGGGCTTCTCGGTACAAGGATTTTTCCAGATGCGGAACTCTCTTTTGATCCGCCAAACAAACGTGGATCTCTCCACCAGACAAACGTGGACCTCCCTCGATCCGCCAAACCAGATGTAGCCCAAACGTGGATCTCTCATGGATCCACCAATCTAGATGCAGATCTCAAATCTCGAGGCCACCAAACGAGGGTCCACCAAACTTGTTGTCCACCGCCCTGAACCGAAATCAAGCTCTGATATCACTTGTCACAAATCGGGCTGCTCCATTAGTACGATATTGTCCGCTTTGGGCCAAGCCCGCACGGTTTTCCTCTTGGGTGTCCTCCCCAAAAGGCCTCGTTCTAATGAACTTGGTGGACACTTATATACAAGGGTTCCTTCCCTTGTATTACCGATGTGGTACTTGGATTGTCCCATAACAACATGAACCTTTTGTGTTGATTGAGTGTTTTATATAATATTTGAGGTATTATTCATGAATGATTGAGTGTGTTAGCTTTAACTCAATATTGGGTGAAATTAACCTAGAGGGTGGAAATTCCCTTTTGGTCCAATAGGGAGCTAGACTCCTTAGCCACTTGGGTAACCTCCTTTAGGTCAATTTAAGACCAAAATCTCAAATATCGGAGTAGGATCGTGATTCCATCGGGATAGGTCTCTCCGCCGACCAAATTAAGTTCCGAGGGTTTGGTTTGCAATCCTTAGTCGGCTAGTTGAGAGGGTTAGGTTTCCTAGCCTATAGTTGTCACCCTTAGCTGAAAGGTTAAGTGAGCTACTTTCTAACTTGTTGCAACGATTCTCAATTAGCTAACTAAGAGAGTTAGGGATCTCCTTGGTTGATTGGTAAAGAGGGCTATGTTCCCCAGCTATGAATCACAATCCTTGACCTAACGGTTAAGAGAGCTAGTTCCCTTAGCTTATGGTTGTTGATTTTCCTTCATTGATCGACTAAGGGAGTTTGTTCCTAGCTAATGGAACCCACCTTGCAGTGTATGAACACTTCCTTCACACTAGAGCTTTGTTTGTCGCTTCTTAGCACGAGACTAGGGGGACCAACCCAGGTGAAGTCCCCTAAAGTAGAATTCTCCTCCATTTACTTTTCTTGCTTGTTTAGTTTGTAGTTTTCTTGATTTTAAACCCAAAATCGTTTTGCTAGATAACAATGTAGCTATTGAAGTAGGGGTACATGGACCAGCCCGGGTTGACAATTTAAATACTTGCCCTATACTACACCCGACTAGGGTTTAAAAACTTAGGCTCTATTCGGGATTAATTTGTGGTGTAGCTCCGTGCGAGTCAGGTTCAAAGGGTTTGGTTTTAGTAGAAGACTTTATTTCCACCTCTGAATTATTCGGATAGGAGAAGGCGAGAGGTTTTAGGTCGGAATAATACGACCCAGTGCCAGATGGAGGGGTGGATCGACGAAGGGGTGTGGCCGGCGATCACGAGTTATGGTGCAGGGCTTCGACTGCGGGGAGAGAGGGAGAGAAGTTGAAAGTGGGTAAAACCGTAAAAGTTGGTAAAGTGAAGAAGGAGACTTTTGATCTTTTATTTCCAATTATTATTAATAAAGGTTGCTTTCCACTTGGCATGCCACGTTGATGAAAAATGACCATGTCATCAATAACCGCTTGTCCAGTCATGAGAAAACAGTTAATTTTGTAGACGGAATGACGATATTGTATTTTTCAAAATGTGGCTATCATTGTCACAACGCAAATAGTTATGACTATGAAAGTGTATTTTGCCATATAAATATGAAAACATAAACGAATACAACAAACGATTTACATAATTTCAATGAGATATGGACTAGTCCATAATAGAATATGAGATTTTCCGAGCGGCTTTTCCTTATTAGTTTCTTGTTAATGTATTTTTCTGAGTTATAATGATGTATAGATCAATAATCCTAGCTATTCTCAAGCATACGAAAGCACATGGGTTTAAATACAAGCATATTAAACTGAACTAGAAAAATTCACGGCAATAAATCCAGTGACATTAAGTCGTGACTTTTCAGTTCAGACCGAGAAATACAAATAAAACCTAGAAATAGGAAGTCACATGCTAGACCGTGACAAACATGACAATTCTCACAAGTTGGCCTCTATCCAAAAGCCTCCCAAATTGATGCAGGTCTCGAAGCATCAATTTGCTAGACACAAACCAATGACGAGCACGAGAGATACACTCGGTAAATGAATCTGCCAGCTGGTCATCAAACATAATGCAACACAAAGTAATCACCTCGTCATGAACAATATCACGAACGTAGGGACCATGAATTTTCATATGTTTGATCCGATCATGAGCGCGAGATTGACAACAATCAGACTAACACTAGTGGTGTCCATATAAAAAACCTGAGGAGCTCGATATTGTGGATTAAAAAGTATTGACATGTTTATTGTGTTTTTGTATAGAGACAGAGGCGGGGCCGCTGGAGACTCAGGTGGGGCCGCCTTTGGAAACTTTTGAACCAGTCTAAGGCGCTGGCGCCTTAGTCTCCAGCGCCCCCGCCTTCACCTCTCTAATTTGTTTTAAAGACCGCCGCGAGTCATCCTCTTTCCTTCTTATCTTCTTCTTCTTCTTCTTCCTCCCCACTCCCGAACTAGAGACTCTGCTTGCAACCCCGCGCTCACAGTCGTCGCTGTCGCAGAGCCAGGCTTCGCCCCTGATGATAGAAGTGCTACCGCCAGATGTCGTCTGACGAAGACGAAGCTGTCGCCAGCAGAGGCAGCAGGAGAGGTCTGCGAGGTCGTGTAGGTGCCGACCGTTTTCGTGGTGAGGGTCTCGCTGGCGGTGGCCGGAATCTCGCGACGGCGGGGTTTTTTTTAATTAATGTTTAGTGTTTTTTTAATTAATGTTTTTGTTGCTTTGCTTTTGCAGTTCCTAGGCTTATGGACCCTTATTCGATGAGACTACCGTCGGCGACAATTGATCCAGCTCCGGTCGATCCGGTACTTCTTCGGGGACTTGGCCAACATCGTATTGACTCCGTTTGGGCGAACGAGGTAAGTATTTGATAATTATTCATGTAAAGTTAATTAGCTAATTATATTATTTTAGTTGGTGAACTGAAGTGTACTGAAATTAGAATAATATTATGTATAAATTTTTTTGACATTAGTATAATTTGAGATTAGATTAGATAGATTAGAAATTATTAGGTGAAATTAGAATTATTATGAATGAAATTGAATTAATATAAGTTTTGTGCACTATAGGCTGGTGATCGATCTTACCATGTTCGAGGTACGACCAATTTAGTGACGTACCACGAGCTTTATCGGCCATATCTCGAAGCGGCTGGCTTGTTTAGTGTTTTTCCCCTGGTCCCTATGAACTCCGATGCGAGTTTGATTACTGCGCTCGTAGAGCAGTGGCGACCCGAGTCCTCGACCTTCCATTTACCGTTTGGTGAGGTCACGATCACGTTAGAGGACATTGTGACATTGTCCGGTCTGGCGATCGATGGTGATGCCGTCGTAGTTGACATACCGAATGAGGAGTGGTCGACGATCTGTTTGAGACTGTTAGGACGGGTTCCGGCTGATGTTTCAGGCAGTGTCGGTGTCGTTAGGACTGTTTGAATGAGGGATGAATTCAGTTATCTGCCGGGAAATGCATCCCAGGAGGTTACAGAGCAGTTTTCACGAGCTTATGCTCTATCTCTGATCGGAGCTGTACTGTTCCCTGATCGGTCTGGAGCTACGGTGCACCTACAGTACCTACTTCTGGTTGAGGATTGGCAGAGAGCTGGACGGTTCGCCTGGGGAGCAACTGTTTTATCCTACCTGTACCGTGAGATGGGTAGGTCGCCTTGGTGGATGGGTCGCCCTACTGTAGCTCTGGGCGTGGGAGCGATTCCCACATCTGGCACCGCGACGTTCAGAGACGAGGACGCAGATTTCCGAGGATGCATCCCCACGTGGTCTTCGATGGCTTCCGACCAACACTCGTCAGTATGGTGACCAGCTATTCCAGTACAAGCTGTGGTTTGACGAGATGGACACCATGGTGGTTAGTATATAACATTTCATTTTATAGAATAGTTTTCATTTGTTTGTTTTAGATTTAGGGATAATAACGTGACCATTTTTTTGTGTAGTGGCAACCTTACGTTGAGAGAGCACTTCATCTCAGAGGTAGTGTGATACAGTCTGAGACGTTTCGAGGAGTAGTGCCACTTATATGCTTTTCATCGGTGATGTGGCACCATCCTGACCGCGTGCTCTGGCAGTTTGGCATGAGGCAGCATGAGCCTCATCCGCCACATTCTGAGGCTGAGGTTAGGTTTTTTCTTCGTCAGACTACTCGTGCCAAACTACTTCGTCAGACTACTCGTCGACAAGAGTTTGTAGCGACGGCTCCATACAGTGATGAGGTCTTAGCCTAACACTCGGAGCATATGGAGTGGTATCGAGATGTCACCAGAAGTTCAGGCACACGGAGAGGAGTTGCAGCATAGGCATTGGTTAGTTCTTTGTTTGCTTAATATTTTTTTGTATTTGTCCTGAATTTCTTAACTGTGTGAATTTTCTGACATTTCAATTTAAATTTTAGTACGACACTTTGGAGCATGCTGAGTTGAGTTTACGTGACGGAGTACGGACTGGAGGATTGTCCACCGACCAGTGTGAAGAGTTGGCCAACATGATGGCATCAGGAGTTGCTACTTTAGGTTTGGAGCGGCGCAGACACCCTGATCTCACAGTACCTATACAACCAGCTTATGATCTGCCCATCATGACTGCCTGGCCAGAGTGCACTGACCCGACACCAGACTGGGTCGTCCCGGAGCCACAGTTCAGAAAGGAGCATAGGCCCCGTAGGCAATGACGTGAGCATCGTGATGCACCTCATCCAGTCCGGATTTCAGATCGACAGCGAGCACAGCCCGTCCGGCCTACTACGAGGAGCTTCCAGTTTAATCCGCCTCGGCCGCAGTTTCAGTCAGATTCTTCTTCGAGCTTTCAGCCTCCGTCTCAGCTGCAGTTTTAGTCAGATCCGTCTTCGAGCTTTCAGCCTCCGTCTCGGCAACAGTTTCAGCCAGATCCATCTTCGAGCTTCTATCCACCAGAGGATAGCTTCCATACACCGCAACATGCTACGATGAGAGGCGGATACATGGCCTCAGGTGGTGATACTAGAGCAGCCTCGTCTCCCAACCTGTGGGACGCTCTAGAGGGTGATGTGGCCTTTCAGGAGACGATGTGGAATTATGAGCAGCATCTTCAGTCTCAGCAGCATGGTGGCGGTGTACCTGAGGAGCAGATTCAGTCTCAGCAGGATGATATGTTCGGCACACAGGATCAAGATGGTGGTGTCGAGGGAGATCAGCCCCAGGAGTATGATGGTAGACCTCCACTTAACAGGGTGCCTGCAAGGTGTGGTACTGGCGGCCATCTAGTGGTGGAGCATGGTGGTCGTCGTCGTGGTCATTAGTGAGACTATTATGTAGACTATTATTTTTGGATTGTTATTATTATGTACTTCATTGAGACTATATGTGGACTATTATTTTTCTTATTATGTTATTAACGATAAATATTAGGAACAACAACAACAACAACAACAACTAGGAACAGTCACTACTTCAAACCATAACAACTACATGAAAAACAACAAAAAATACATTTGATAAAAATTCTCCCAAACTACAACAACTACATACCACGTCTATTGCCACTACTTCCTCTTCCACCACCTCTCCCACGTCGTTGGCCAACACTTCCTCTTCGCACGCTCCCACTCCCACTTGCTTAACCACCACAAGTTTATGCATTATGGTCACTTTGGTTAAAGTTGCTACACACTATTTGAGATACACCCTCTCTTGGCCAATTCATCTCGTTGTGAATTCTTGTAACTCGTGGCCTCCCCGACTTCCTAATCATGTGCACATTAGGATAGAGAATAGGACCATTATGCTTCTTCCAACCCTTAGGTTCACCAAGAGGTGTGAAACTTGTCCCATAACAAGCCAGCACTGTTTCCAGCTTGTAGACATCGTTTACAAACCTATACGGATTAGCCCCCATTCGGTTGCAAGATGCAATGGCATGAGAGCAAGGAATTTTATTTCCTTGAAATTTCCCACAGGTGCAAAATCCCGCCCGTTTGCGGTCGTCAAAGTGCACTTGTGAGTGTGTTTGACCCAGTCATGTTGAAATTGTTGGGAGGAGTCTGAACTACATAGATGCCTTTACGTCGATCAATCGATATCACGGAATGTCCAACTGCCTTTTGTGACCATGGCTTCATCAGCTCTTCGCACTTGGTGGAGTATTGTGTAGGACCACTTCTAATTTCTGCTCCTGTCTCCAACCTCATCTTATCGAATTTCTTCACCAATCGCCAATAGGTATGTTGCACAAGAGAAGCTATAGGAAGTGCACGAATACCTTTGAAAACACCATTGATGCTTTGTGCCATGTTGGATGTGAGGATAGACCAACGACGCCCACCATTGTAGTTATCATGTGCTAAACTCCAACGAATCTGATGTTGGTCCACCCAGTTATCACATAAAATATTTCTATCAATGGCCACCTTAAATTGCTCAACCTGACGATCAAACATCTCCAAGCGTTTTTCTACGGCTAACAAAATAAACAACCACACGGGTTAGATAAATTCATGACAAAATTACATGAAAATAAATAACAAAATTAAATGAAGAAGGCTTACCGACTCGAAATAGTTGCTTATACATAATTCTGCTTTTAGTCTTCCTTTGCAAATTGCTTGCATAGTGTCGCATGCACCACCTCCACTCCCAACCTCTTCTGATGTTATTCATGGCTTCATAGAGTTCTGCATGTCTATCTGAGATGATGCAGACATCATTCTGATCAGTCAAACCCTGAACGTGACTTATGAACCATGGCCAACTGTCAGTATTCTCGCTATCCACTATGGCAAATGCAATTGAAAAAATCTTCTTCCGGCCATCAAATGAACTCACCATGAGTAGCACTCCTTTATACTTCACAGTAAGAAATGTTCCATCAACAACCATGACGCCTGGACAATTCTTGAATCCATCTATACAAGGTCCATAAGCCCAGAATACTCGCTAAAATATCGAATAACCTGGTTGAGTTGAAGGAACTCTTACCCAATCAATCACCGATGTTGGCATTTTTCTCTTGACCACCCGCAAGAATGTTTTCAAAAACTCGTAGGGTTATTCCCAATTTCCATGCAACTTCTCCAATGCTCTTTGTTTCCCATACCAAGTCTTCTTCTAAGTAACTTGCATATTAAACTTATCTTTCAATTCGGCCTGCACAGTTAGAACACTCAGATTTGGTTGGGCGCGTAGTCACGTACCAAATGTTTGACGGCCTCAGATATCATGTCGACATCAAGATGGCGATGATCCGTCGGTTGAGTCGTACTGCTACAAGAATGCACCAACTCAGCCTTTCTCACAGTCCATTCGCCTCCAACATCTCGACATCCAAACCGCACCATCCAAGGACAATTGTCATCCTTGTGCCTCAAGTATCTGACCTTCCAGATTGAAGGTGACGACTACACCACGCCATATTGAAAGTTGCGTTGTAGTGCGTGGTGTTTAATCGCCATCTGTGCAGCTTGTTTCGAGTGAAATATCTGCCCCTTGTAGAATTCTCCTTCAAAACTAGCAACAAATGGCATTGGAATTACACCATATCAATCAGCAAGTGATAATTCTTCGTTCTCTTCATTACCCTGCAAGTAAAAATATGGAGGATAATTAGGTTGCTCTCCTTCCCCCTCTTCCTCCTCCTCCTCATCTTCCTCTTCTCCGTCATCATAGTCATGATCGGATGGCACACTCCATGTATCATCTTCTTCCTCTCCACCCTGATCCTCACTGAGCTCCACATGTATCTCAGCACCCAAACAATAAGGATTTGTGCCATAAAATTCCAAAGCACATTCAAACTATCATCATCCACAATAGGCATCGCATAAAGAAATAAAACACCATTCTGCCATTCTGGAAGACGGTAAGTGAAACCTGTGATCACATCACTATCTTGTACTGCTTCGTCTCTACGTCGTATTCTCGGAATTAGATTCTCACAAAGTTTGTGATATGTGACCCTGGATTGAACCGTCAACTGAAAACTACTACCACCAACGAATTTGACGCCCAAATTATCGTCTACTTTCTCCGATTTCCACCGAACGACTAGTTCAAATCTTCTAAAATCACTACAGAAAAACAAACTCACTAATTAAAACTAAACACAATCATAATAGCATTTGAATAATATAATTAAAAAAATAAATGTGTCTCTTACCTATTAGCCATTTTTGCAGCAGCAACCGAGCTCTCCTCTATTTTGGTCGATTTTTTTTTTTGTGGTGTGAATAACTGAAACGAAATTCGCTGGTTTTATAGGGGGGTAGCCAGCAATAAGCCAGCGGACCCGCCATAGTCCTGGGTGCCAGCGCCAGGTACAAATTCCCACCGTTTCACCTCAGCCTCAGGCGGTACCACATCAGTCTTGGGCGTCGCCGCTGTCACCTTTAAACAAATGATCTAAAAAAACAGAAGCAGCGGCAGCGCCTGAGTCTCAGGTGGTCCCGCTGGTTTTCTCTCTCCAAAATACAATAACCTTGTCAATACTTTTTAATCTGCCATATTGGTGGTAAATTAAAAAAAAAACAATATTTCTGTCATTGTCCCTTTAATGGTTTTGCGGTAGAAACATCAAACATGGGAAGACAAAAAAAGACTGAAAGAGTCCGTCCATTATGTTTCCCTCTCCGGTGGCCTATCAAATCACTTCCGACGACTCCTCCGGCGGCGGTCCAATCTGAGGGTCTACCAAACGCCCACTAAAATCAATTTTTCGTGTCCTCCTTTATTTATTTTGCAAAACAAAGGTAACGAATCCCGCCTCATCACCGCCCATCTGTCTACGTCGAGGGTTTTCGTAGAGCAAAGCCGCTACCACAGTACCAGACGAGGGAATTCGATAGAGGCTTTAGGTAGGTCCGAATATGGGATCGATGACGGCGAAGTCTCCGAAGTTTTGTTTGAGAGCCCGCCGGAGAAGAACATCGAGGAAATTGACGATAAATTTTTTTCCCCTCCTCTTCCTTTTCTGAATTTCTGCCGAAAAACAAAGAAGTTTGACAATAATTTTACTATTTTTCATCCAATTTTAGATTAATTATTAATAAAAATAACAAATAGAATACCCAACCAAATGACGGGAACGCTTATTCATATATTTCGTCTGGTTGGGTGTTGGCGGTTGGGTCCAGAGTCATGGGCTACGGGTTTAAAGTTGGGTTACCATTACCACGTAATATCCACGTGTACCAATCATAAAATGCGTTATGAGTGCCGCACTTTTTAAAGCGGCACTATAGCATTGACGGCCTCTGATAACACCAGGGAGCCCAATCCCCAATGTTAGTCGGTGTCCAATTCCAAAAAGGGCTGGCCTTTGTTGCAATACGGACTTCGGCCTAATCTTTAGGTGGTGGATGGCCGGCCCACAGCTTCAATTCTGAACAAATCTTTCAAGAGTTTGATTCCTCTTATCCAGGTCGAGAAATGGAGTGCTGCCGGTTTGATACCGCCAACGCCTAGCCTCATCGTCAACTGATGCTTTCTTTGTCTGTTTGCCTCTTCACAAATCCTTACTCCCTCAGGATCCCGATCCAAATACAATCCGTTTCTCTATTCGGCCGTCTCTTTCCCACTTTGGATTCCTCGCGTCTTCTTACTCCTCTTCTCTTGTACACTGTTAACCTTTCTTTACTGATAACAACAGTTTGCCTCGTCTTGTTCCGTCGCCGTCGGTTTTTCTTTTCCCCTGAATCCACAGTTCCAGCCAGCTCAAAGCTCGGAACATTTCCCAAATGGGTACTGCTGTAGCTCAGTACCCACTTGGGATCACTTCGCATTCCTCTGGAGATCTCGCTCACAACAAGTTGGGTTCTTCTTTTCGATACTCCAAGTTTCCGTGTCAATTGGATTTCGCTAGGCTCGGCTTGCTTCATCAAGGCTCTTCTGCAACTTCTTCCTCCAATCATCCCACGGTGTGTTTCCGCAAGCTCGGCAGTTTCCTTTCCTCATTTCAATCGGATCTTTTTGTATGTTCTATTCTGCGCAGCTTAGATTGTGTGTGATTGATGTAGTTGCCCTATCACATGGGAGGTAATGCTATTAAACTAACCGGTTAGGTGGATCTGAATTTTTAAGTTTGCAGATGAAGCAAATCGTTCACTGAGCTGGCAAATGGAAAGGGATTAGTTATTGTTATAGCCAATGATGGTGTAAAGCTGAAGCTTAAACTTTTGTCCAATTAGAGATATTGACTACGAACAGTTTTCAATGCTTTGTAGCCATTGGATCCTGTTGTGTATGTCCTATGGCGCTTTTCTTGATTGATTGAAATATCATCATGTTAGGTAACAGTTTTCAGTATCGTTTGCTTGTTAGTAGGTAAGCTGATGATGTTTTTTGTTCGATGTAGGAACCCGACAGTCGAATAAATGCTATACCAGACATGGATGACATATTCTGGGACGAAGTACCAACTCCCTTGCTTGATATGATTGAGAACCCTATTCACCTCAAGAATTTGTCCCTCAAGGTTAGTTAGCTTTGAGACATTTTACACTATTGCTGTGTTCTCGATAAAGTGTGCGCTAAATTGTTAAGTGTTTTTGTTCAGGAGTTGAAGGAACTAGGTCGTGAAATACGGTCAGAATTATCAAGTATAATGACACAGAAGCCGAACTCTTTGAAGGCTAGCTTGGCTGTGGTAGAACTAACCATTGCCATACACCATGTTTTTCATGCTCCGGTGGACAAGATACTATGGGATGCAGGTGAACAAGTAAGATGGCAAAAAATTTCCGACGCCTCCTTTTTGTTGCTGTCATAATCAATAGAGAGAGGAGAGGACCAGTTAACCGTAGCGCTGTTAAACTTCTGGTTAATCATTTTACTGAGGTCGCACATGTGAGACTCTGACTGAGAACTGCAGAAAAGGGCAATTAATTATGAATTCTAGCTTATGGTTGAACACATAAATTACTAATGAATGTATCGTCTGTTCGTTTTTGGCAGACTTACGTACATAAAATTCTCACAGGAAGGAGGTCACTAATGCGTATTATGAGACAAAAGAATGGTCTTTCTGGCTTTACATCTCGGTTTGAGAGCGAATATGATTCCTTTGGAACGGGCCATGGTTGTAACAGTGTTTCTGCTGGTCTTGGTAGTACCCCTGTTCATGCCATTTGACTATTCTTTACTAATCGGATATGGCAGTATTCTGAATTCTTTGTTTTCATTCACACTCTCCTAACCGACTAAAAACTGTTTCTTTCGTCAGGAATGGCTATTGCACGTGATATCAAAGGGAAGCGGGATCGAGTTGTTACTGTCATTAGCAATGCGACAACTTTGGCTGGTCAAGTCTACGAGGCAATGAGTAATGCCGGTTACTTGGACTCAAATATGATTGTGATTTTAAATGATAGCCGTCGCTCTTTACATCCAAAGATTGAACAAGGGCCAAGCACTTCAATCACGGCCTTATCTAGTACCTTAATCAAAATCCAGTCTAGTAAATCATTCCAGAACTTCAGAGAGCTTGCAAAGGTATTATCTCTTAAATTTTAACATGCAAGTCTGAAGTTTCGGAATGCTTGAGATGCTTTCAAAATGCATACAGTCATTATGTAAAGTTGAACTCCAGGCTGAATGAATATCTCTTTGGAAAGTTTCTTGAGATCCAAATCCTGATTCTTTGACTCCTTCCATGTTCCTTTCTGAAGGGTATTACCAAAAGGATTGGCAAGGGTACACATGAATTGGCTGCCAAATTTGACGAATATGCCCGTGGTATGATTGGTCCACAAGGATCGACTCTTTTTGAGGAGCTCGGGCTGTATTACATCGGCCCTGTTGATGGACACAATCTAGAAGACCTCATTTGTGTTTTGCAACAAGTGGCATCTTTGGACTCCATGGGCCCCATCTTGATACATGTAATCACAGAAGACAATCATCAAGATGCAGAATATAATGAAAAGACCGAGGCAGACAACCCACAGGAAGGTATGATCAGTAGTAGTTTTCTCTAAAGCTGGGACCGGATAATTCTACTTCTTTATATCTTTGGTTCCTAGAGTGCAATGATCTACTTATGAATTTCTTTCTGCAGGTTATGATGACTCAGTATCTTCCTTATGTAGTGTGCATACTCGAACATACAGTGATTGTTTTGTCGGTTCTTTGGTAATGGAGGCAGAGAAGCAGAAGGACATTGTTGTGGTTCATGCAGGAATGGAAATGGAATCCTCCTTTCAACTGCTTCAGGAAACATTCGCCGACAGGTTTTTCGATGTTGGAATGGCTGAGCAACATGCTGTCACGTTTTCCGCCGGTTTATCCTGTGGGGGACTGAGGCCCTTTTGCATTATTCCTTCTACTTTTCTACAGAGAGCATATGATCAGGTATATCTTTCTCTCTGTCTATGTATCATGTCAGGGCGAAAAAAAAAAAAAATCAGCTTAGTGAGATGCTCCTTATTGGGCTTTTCCCCCCAGGTGGTTCATGATGTAGATCGGCAGAAGATTCCAGTGCGATTTGTCATCACAAGTGCAGGATTGGTGGGGAATTCCGGTCCCATGTACTGTGGGGCATTCGATGTGACATTAATGTCGTGCTTACCGAACATGATCGTCATGGCTCCATCTGACGAGGATGAGCTGGTGGATATGGTGGCTACTGCTGCCCAGATTGATGACAGGTCGGTCTGCTTCCGCTATCCAAGAGGCGCCATAGTCAGGACAGACCATTTTATGCATGCTGGGATTCCCCTTGAGGTGATTAAATCTTTTATATCTATAAACTTAAGCTTTCGGGTTGTGTGGGCTGTGATTTTTTTGACACTGCTAGAGATGTGCTTATTGGCATAGTGTACAGAGAACAGAAGCACCATTAATCCTGCATACTAATTTTTTCCCCGGTAATTGCATACTAATTTTCTGATCTAGGCTTTCATCACACTTTGAAACAGATTGGTAAAGGAAGAGTGCTTTTAGAAGGTAAAGAGGTGGCATTGCTAGGGTACGGAGCAATGGTTCAGAACTGCCTCAAAGCTCAAGCCCTTCTTTCGAGGCTTGGCATCCAAGTAACAGTTGCTGATGCAAGATTCTGCAAGCCACTCGACACAGAACTTCTCACCCTCTTATGCCAGAACCATCAGTTCCTAATCACGGTCGAGGAAGGTTCTATTGGAGGGTTTGCATCCCATGTTGCGCAGTTCATGGCTCTCAACGGCCAGCTCGATGGAGCCATTAAGGTGAGTTTCAACAAACATCACAAAGTTTTTGGTAGAAAGTAAGAACCACAAGTAATCTAAAATATCTGTGATTCGAATCTATACAGTGGCGGCCTATTGTTTTACCGGACAACTACATAGAAAATGGGTTGCCTGAGGAACAACTAGCTCGAGCTGGATTGAGCGGACACCATATAGCTGCAACTGTACTGAGACTGCTCGGAAGAGTGCGCGAAGCTCTCCTTTTGATGTGCTAGAAAAAGAAAAGAATACAAGATTCTGTAAATTGTAACCTGAGAAATGAGTGTACAGACAAAAAAGAGAAAGCGTTGCTCTTACTGCCGTGCATTGCAAGGAGGATTGAAAATCATGCAGATAGCAGACTAGCAACGAGCATTATGAACCCTCGTTGCTCATTGCGGCGGCTGAAGAAGGTTCGTTGGTGGCATCACCATTAGTGCGTAATCGTACAGCAGCGTAAGCTGCTGCTCCAAGTAAAGCACCAGCGATTGGTGCAATGAGGTAGATCCACAGTCCTTTGTAGTTGCCAGTAGCTACAGCAGGGCCTAAAGCTCTTGCTGGATTCATACATCCTCCTGTTGTTCCCCTGCTCCCCTTAGATCAAACCACAGAATGATCGATTTCATTATCCGTCATTTGCTTCCTGGAAATAAGTTGTTAAGAAACTTACCCAGCAATGAGTACATTGAGCATGATGGTAGCTCCAATTGTGGCCGCTCCCAGTTCCTATGTGCATAATATCCAGTGAGTTAGCAGGAACTCCGGCCATGACAGTACTCGAATGCAACACATTGAGGTTACAAGCGCTACTATATATGCCAGCACTAGGCTTTCAAATCTGTCTGCAATGGCGTTCGTTACAAAGTTTCTTTCTGGTGAGTACTGAAGAAGTACTTACAGTTCTGGTGTGAGTGACGGCGGAGACCACAAACATCAGAATGAAGGTTATGAGAAACTCCAAGGCGAAGGCTTGTAGGTTTCCTCCGGAGGGAACGTTGGTTCCGGCTCCTGATCTCACGGGGCCAAATAACACCGCCAGCAACATCGCCGCCGATATCGATGCCGCAACATGTGTGGCGATATACAACGGCACCTTTGTAGAGATATTTATGTACGAATCCAAATTAATTTGTCACTAAAGCTAAAATGGTCACTAAATTATGCAACCAATAATCCAAGATCGTCACTATATGGTGGTCTCGTTGTCAAAGTACGGGTTGGTTCCAAAAATTCGAGTTGTTGGCAGCGGTTCAATTATTAATTATATATAACTTACTAACATAGCCTAGCCCACCATTCATATATAGTTTGAAGTTTGTACAGTTGTGTTTTATAAACGAGGTCATTAATTAGAATTCAAACAGAATACCTCTCGATGGTACTTGACATGATATCAGTGTCTTATATGATTGGGAGGTCTTCTGTTCAAATCCCGACCGACCCTCATTTGTTAAGCATATGGTATCTGAAGTTGTATAAAGTTCAAGCCCATATTAATGGTCTTCGGTTTGAGGAAACTTGTTAGTATGTGGCATAAATACCCACTATTTGAATTCATACTTAACAATTTTGAGTTATTGGTATCAACTACTTCTTTTTCACGTACACATGTGTAGAGTTACGTACTTGTTTCCAGGCGAAGCGTCTGGAGGCGGCCAATGCGATGGTGATGGCCGGATTGAGATGTGCACCGGAGATGTGACTCGTCGACTGGACGACGATCGCCGCCGCCAGGCCCGCCGAAGCCGCCGCCTGCAGCGTGGCCGAACCACCTTTGCTGTTCTGGTTGACGATGGCCGTCCCGATGCCGGCGATCATCAGGATTAGAGTTCCTATGAACTCTGCACCCACCTGCATGTATGTGCATGATTGTGACACATAATATACATAATAATTAAGCAATCAAAAGTACGTAGTATGTTTAGGTACAGTTTGAGTAACCATAATAAATTAAACCTTCTTCATCAATGAAGCCAAGTCGCTGTGTGGTGAGCAGGTAGCTGATGAAGGCGGCGGCGAGCTGGTTCCTTGGCCGGAAGCACGAGCTGTGATATCCATGCCGTGATAATCAAGGTACCAGCTACCATCCTAATTACCATCCTGATATCCATTAATTACTTGAATATATATATTTGCCGGCCGATCGGAGTGAAAAAATTATATGCATGACCGAAAACTTGGTACGTACCAGCCTAACCATCCTAGCTAAACACAAAGAGTGTGAAATGAGTTAATGTAGAGTTATTATTTGTATTAAGTAAGATTAGCGTGAAATAGTTGTTGATTATCGATTAGAAAGGTTTCATATTCTTAATTATTTCCACCTAACTTTAAGTAGGTAACTCTAGCATAATTGATTGATAAAATATAGTTAGTAAATACTTCATTTGATACGTGTGCGAACGAAACATATTTGTTTTTGGGGGCCAAATAAATTTTTTAAGGAGTTTTATTACTGCAAAGAAAATACTTATTCAGCCATACACAATGTTTTTAATGTTACCATCTACATTTTGTATGTATCATGTTCCAGGTATATAATTACAATATCAAGTTATCAACAAGAAATTCTATCATGCATGCATCTTTTTCCCTAGCTTATTTTTCACTAAACACACATTTCGAGATTAAAAACGAAAAACAAAACATATCAGCTATGTAATCTTGTTGTAAAAGAAACCCTTATTCGTCTATATTTTTCAAACGCCGAATTATTCATAAAAATGATAAATCTGCAGACTCATTAATTATTAGTTCGTATGTTAAAAATATCAATTGAAAAGAAACAATATTTGGGAATTGGGAATGGAATTTACTAGCATTAAGAAGAAGAAAAAAACTAATTGGGGATGGAATTTGGGAACCAGGGATGGAAATAAACTTTACCCTATTTTTTTATAGTTTCCATCAATTAATTTATTAAACTTTAATTTTAACTTAAAGCACAAAATCATTACTCTAATTATTCTTTAAAACTTAACCACCTACTGAAGCCACTGAACAGAATCAATATAAAAAACAAAACTTACCGTAAGAAATGGCTTTAGAATTTTTAAATTTAAAGACCCGAAAGTCTGAAACCAATCCATCAGCCATGAAATCAAACAAATTCAAACTGGGCGTCGTTTCTCTCCTAGAGAATTGTGTAGCTGCCTTTCAATTGTGTAAAAGATAAGTTATGATCTCATCCAACCCCCTTACCCAGACAAAAACGAAGAAACTGTAATACGACAAATTAAAACGATTGTAGACCGGAAAAAGTGACATCGGCAGTTCCATCATAAAATATTTGACATGCCAGGCTTATTGGACTGGAGGGTGGGTTTGGTTTTGCAGGATCTACACAGTATGGTAATGGTAGAGGTTCTGCCCTTTTGAACGAAGCTGATCATATCATACAAGTTGTTTGCTGAGTTGTTGGCTTTTCGTGATGCGAGGTGTTGGTGTTTATCTAGGGGTCTATATATGGCCATTGATTTTTGCATGAGTTGTTCATGAAGGGGAGGAGACTTGTGCATTGCGTGATTATTTTATTTGAGCGATTTTAAGCTCGTTTTGTTAGGCGCGTGTGTATAACAGGGTTGTTTATTTGATGGTAAAAAAAAATCATAATTTCGTTGTTCCCTTCATTTGTAGAGCTTCGATTTTGTTTCTAAGTTGTTTTCACCTATGTAACTACTCTATATATGGTTTGTTTCTCGTTAATACGAGGCGATTTTTTGATAAAAAAAAGGGAGTGTGCATTCAATTTTTTCCCTTTATTTGAACCGTCACCGAACTGAGTAGAGGTTTTGACGATTTTGATTTTTCGATCTCAAATTATTTTGAAATGGTTTTTATGACTATTGTAAGTGGTCCGGTTTGTTTTATGGCTGGTTCTACCGAAACCAAAACCAATAAGGGCTTATTGGTTTTGAGAGACTTGATGATGTTTCAGCTCGAACCAAACCAAACTGACAACCATACGAGTCGTAGTACAATATTGTAGGACTTCCGCTACTTGTAACACGATATTTTTTGTCATTCAATTCTCACATCTTAAGATTTCGAGATCTTAAAATGGGAAAATGTGCTCGAATGGAAATAATAATAAATTGTGCATACACTCAGCCGCCGGGAAAGACCCCCCACCATTCAACGAACGGTCAAATAATGGATAACCAGCAGCAAGCTGATATCCGGCGATTCTCACGTCATCCCCATGCACTTCTAGTTACAACCTAGAGAGTAGAGACCATTCCTAATTATATATATACCACTAGCCAGTGTCTCAAGTACTAAACCTTACAGCATGAGGAAAGATATAGAAAATCAATACTATTTCTGGCCCTTCCTCCTCACCTTCTTGGCCATCGTGCTCGCAACATGGGTTCGCCGGAGGAACAAAAGGTCGCCGCCGGGTCCATGGAAGCTGCCGATAATAGGAAACCTCCACCAGCTGGCAGGCACCAACACCCACCTCCCGCTGCACCAACGACTGTGGGAGATGTCCAAGAAATATGGCGCCGTGATGGAGCTCCAGCTAGGCGAAATCCGCAATGTCTTCATCTCCTCAGCGGAGGCCGCCGAGCAGGTGATGAAGAAGCACGAAGTCGTTTTCTCCTCTAGGTCCGCCACCCTGAGCACCGACATCCTCTTCTACGGCGGGCAGGACATGTTCTTCTCCCCCTACGGTGACTACTGGCGCCAGCTCCGCAAGCTTTGCACCATGGAGCTGCTCACCATCAAGCGTGTCGTCTCCTTCCGCTCCATCAGGTAAAGCCTGAATCTTAAACTACGTAGATTTTGAATACACTTATGTCATTTTATAACTAGGATTTTCAGAACTTGACTTTAACGATAAATATAAATGCCTCGTTTATATATATTGATGAGGATATTGACAAATGACTAGCGCTGGTAGTAACAAATTTAAACACATGTATTCATTGTAACCATAGTAACCATAATCGACCGATCATACACCACAAATTTATCATATAATATAAGATTGGATAAATTAAGATCTATGGTAGAGGTCCCATAATATTTGACGGACATGTGCCGGAGGACCTCCTGCCACACCACATTGGCCGTAGCAAGTGTGATACTATTGTACTACTAATCATACTCAAGTTTTCTCTCAAATACTTACTCGTACTCTAATATCAGGGCTGAAGAAGTGTCTAATGTGGTTGCCACTATTTCTCGCTCCGTAGCTAGCGGCGAAGCTGTGGATTTGAAGCAATTGCTGCTTGTGCTGACCAATACTATGACTTCTAGGGCAGCTCTCGGTAAGGCTCCCAAGGTGATGACTGAGAGGTTCATGGAGGTTGCAGAGGAAATGGTGGGGTCGCTTGGAGGTTTCAGGCTATCAGATCTATTTCCTTCCTGGAAATTTCTTGCCGTTGTTAGTGGGTTTAGATCGAAGCTCATGGCCGATCTGGTACTGGACGAGATAATCAACCAGCACATTACAAATACCTTTTCTGAAGATGAAACCAAGGACCTTGTAGATGTTCTTCTCAAGCTCAAGAAAAGTAACGATCTCGGTGTTTCGTTAACAATGGAAGCACTCAAAGGTGTCCTACTGGTAAGAACTTATATACATACACACGACACGAGTAAAACCCATGGGCTCCATCTGTTGTTTACTTTTTGGGCTCCAACATTGTGCAGAACATGTTTCTTGGTGGGACTGACACAACAGCAATAGCGATAGAGTGGACCATGTCGGAAATAATGAAAAATCCAGGTGTCATGCAAAGAGTGCAAAAAGAAGCAAGAGGCGTTTTTCAGGAAAATGTCAATGAAGAAAAACTCCATGAGTTGGAGTACCTAAAGGCAGTTATCAAAGAAACTTTTCGATTGCACCCTCCTGCTCCGATACTTATCCCGAAAGAAACTCCAGAGAAGGTGGAGATCAATGGGTTCAAGATCCCCATAAAAAGCCGAGTCATGGTCAATGTTTGGGTTATAGGAAGAGATCCTACCTATTGGGTCGAGCCCGAAAAGTTCGATCCAGAAAGATTTCTAAACTCTACGATCGATTACAAAGGAGCAAATTTCGAGTATATACCTTTTGGAGCAGGAAGGAGGATGTGTCCTGGCATGAACTTTGGAATGGTTGTTGTTCAATTCGTGCTAGCAAATATGCTTTTCCATTTTGATTGGAAACTAACAGACGGAATGAAACTCAAAGATTTTGACATGACAGAGGTCTATGATACTACGCTCAGGAAGAAGGAAAAGTTGTTTCTGGTTCCTATGGCACCTAGGAGGCCATGATGAAGACTTGAATAATGATGAGATACATTATATCATTTATAAATAAAAATAAAACAAGTACACAAATGTATGCATGGTTATCATCTCGTTTGTCATTCCTCTCTTTTGCTATGTTAGACTTGTTCACTTCCTTCTCCTTTCTAAATGTAACTTGGAGTGATAATAATAGTTTCGTCGAAATTTACCATCTTAAATGTAACTTGTACTAGTTGAATAGTAGCCTTGCTAGAATATGATCATAGAGTAAACTCCAACAATCTATTATGTCTAGAAACTCTCAGAGGATTCATTTGATAATGAATAAAGATTAGAACGCTCTTAGCAATCTAAATTCTACCAAGAAAAGAAATTTTTTGCTTACCTCTACTATTCCTTACTCCCTTGAGACCAGTCATGTGGAGGCAGTGGCTCGTTTCTTTTCACCTCGGATATTAATTATTAATACGTTTAAAATTAATTGATTGTCATTATTAGTGGTAGATTACGTACATCTTAATTAATTGAGGGGTTTTGACCACGTTCTATCAAGTTTTTCATAACTTTATGGGGAGCGTCGGGTTTTTAAATTTACGTTAATTGATGAGTTCAAGATGTGTTTATTGTTGTGAAAAATAAGTAGGGGTGGGCGCGAGGGGTTAATCCGCGGATTGATATCGATCTACCCGCAAATAATCCGACTCACAAGCAGTAAGTGATTGATGCGGGTGGATTGCCGATTGATAAATCTCCCATCCACATTTATGTGGGTGGGTGGATTGGCGGGTCACCCGAATGACCCGCATCCTATTTTCACATGATAATGTTGTTCCTTATAGTATCGAATATTCATCATATTTCAGAATCGCACTACAATCTGACCATATACTTCTAAAGGTGGAGAGGAAAATTAGTATTAACAACTATATTGTGTTGTGTAATATCCATTAGATATTGGATATTAGATATTGAAATGCAAATTATTGTAATATCCATTAAATATTGGGATGAAAACTATAAATTATTAATTATATCATAATCACAAAATGCGTAAGTTTTCTCTATACAATTGGTTGATAGAGTAATAAATTTTTTGATGCAAATACTAAATGTTTCACTTGAGACAAAGTGAGAAGTGTTTAAATGATACATTATTACTAATTTACTATGAACTTATTATAAATGTTAGTCAACTTTCTTAATGATTAGTTAGAGAATTGCTTTTGCGGGTTAACCCATGACCCAAACGCACTCATCCGCCATCCACCCAACCCGACCCTTAGAAGAATGTGGTTGGATTGCTGATCACAATTATTCCAACCGATCTCTAGTAAGCGGGTGAGTCAATTTGAAACGAAAACCCACCCAAAAAGTGATGGTGAATGCAGTTTTATAAATAAAAATAAAATCAAAACTTGAAGGTAATTAGTAAAATTGTTGACGACAAATAGCTCTTCACTTATCTAAAGTTTCTGAATGAGACACTGTTGGAAATGTATATGAATAGCTTTGAAAGCTATAAAGTCTCTAGTGGAAAAACTACCACATTGGTAGTTTTACTTGGTGAAATGTGTTTAAAGATAGGAGCCTCTCTCCCAAGGGCATGCCCCTTGGGGTGACCCACTTTTGTGGGAGAGGGAGGACCTAATGGACCACCACACGCGCGCCGTCCGTCCGGTCGGTCGGTCGGTTGGTTGGTTCACTTGAGACTATATATATTTTTGGAGAAATTCCGAACGAAATTAATTATTAATCGGTTATTCTGAGGTATATTCCTAAGGATAATCGACTAAAACGGAATATTCGAAGAGGGTATTTTCCTAGGGGTTCGGCTCCTATAAATAGCCGCCTCCCTAGGAAGAATGTTTAGAGAGCTTCGGTTTTCGCACAAAACCGCGAGTATTGAGAGGAGCTGTTTTATCCTGGAGACGACCGGTTGATAGTCTGTCGTGCGCATCGAAGGCAGTGCTGCGAACGTCTTAAAGAGAGCGACTTAGTCCGCGACTCAGCTCCAGATTCGGTAACCTCGTCCCTTTTGTTGTTCCGTTCCTAACAATTTTAAGACGTTCGGCTGCTGCTATGTCGACTGAACAGAACAACATGGGATTGTGCATTCCTAATATGGGTACCCGCGGGTTACCCGCAAATACCCGTTTGGGTAATGTGGGTACCCGTTATACCCATTTACCAGAAATAGCTCGCTAGCTCCGCCTCCGCGTCTCCGTCGCTCCGCGCGCTTCCTCCTTCATTCACCGGCGCGGGCCGCGGCGGCTTCCTTCTTCTCACTCTGCTGCGCCGCCTCCAATAGCAGACCATCAGCAGCCAACTTTCCCAACCAGGAGTAGGGGGAATATCAACAGCATCACCATTCACCCGGCGTTGTTATCTATTTAGGTATGCAGCTGCCATTCTCTTTTCTTTTCTACTTACAGTACATATTCTGGACTCTAATTACTAGTTAGGTTTGTTCTGCTAATTACTAATTATGTTTCTAATTTCCACCATATGTCTATTTGGTTTATGTTGATTTGGTTTATAGTTTCCATGGCTAATCAAGGAATGAAACTTTGGGTATTTATGGGTATTATGGGTACCCGTTATCCGTCCCGTACGGGTAATGGATACCCGTTTCCCATATGGGTTTGGGACATGGGAAGGACTTTGGCCTCCAAATGGAATTGGGTACCCGTTCAAAACGGGACGGGTATCCCGTCCCGTCCCGTTGTCCACCCCTAAAGTTGAGAACCGGTTCTATAACGGAAAGAAACAACAGATTCGTCGTAAGCACAGTACTGTAAGAGAACTCCTAACGATAGGAGCAGTGAGGGTGGATCATATAAGATCCGAGCAGAATCTAGCTGATCCTTTGACGAAAGGATTACCTAGAGAGAAAGTCCAGAATACCGCCAAGGGTATGGGACTTATGCCTACCGAACCACGGACTACAAGTGATGGTAACCCAACCCAATAGACTGGAGATCCCAAGAAATGGGTTCAATGGGTAATAACAAGTCATGAGTAGTATGCGAAAAGTTCATGCATAGTGAAGCATGAATCCCAAAGCATTGGAGGTTGAGTTAATAACTCTTAATGAGATCTATACCCTATGTGGGGTGGAGTACTTTACTTTGGGGATACTCTTGATAGACTCACCTATGTGAATGTGGGAGTGGGGCCGCTCCCTATGGAACTTTGGAGGCACAAAGTTGCTAGAGCGTTCACTAAACCAGGGTAACGTGCATGGCCATAAACGCACGGGCTATGAAGAGAACACAACTCAATGAAAAGATCCGGTGTGCTACACTGTCTGAGATAGGGTTCAAGACTACGAGTCACCCTTATGAAATCAAAAGTGTAACCACTACGCTAAGGTTCAAATCTTCGCGATACCTTAGCTTATGCCCGATCTTATGGAACTGTTGATGCTCAGAGATAGTTTCAAAACTATTCAAGTGGGGGATTGTTGGAAATGTATATGAATAGCTTTGAAAGCTATAAAGTCTCTAGTGGAAAAACTACCATATTGGTAGTTTTACTTGGTGAAATGTGTATAAAGATAGGAGCCTCTCTCCCAAGGGCATGCCCCTTGGGGTGACCCACTTTTGTGGGAGAGGGAGGACCTAATGGACCACCACACACACGCGCGCGCCGTTCGTCCGTCCGACCGACCGGCCGGTCGGTCGGTTGGTTGGTTGGTTCACTTGAGACTATATATATTTTTGGAGAAATTCCGAACGAAATTAATTATTAATCGGTTATTCTGAGGTATATTCCTAAGGATAATCGACTAAAACGGAATATTCGAAGGATAATCCCTCCGGGTTTATCTTAACCGACGGTTTTAATTAAGGAAGTAATTATCTTCCTTAATTAATCCGACTTATTCCCCAAGCAAGAGGGTATATTCCTAGGGGTTCGACTCCTATAAATAGCCGCCTCCCCAGCCCCTCTAAACACATGACAACGAGCAGAAACACAATAGAGAGTGTGTTTAGAGAGCTTCGGTTTTCGCACAAAACTGCGAGTATTGAGAGGAGCTGTTTTATCCTGGAGACGAACCGGTTGATAGTCTGTCGTGCGCATCGAAGGCAGTGCCGCGAACGTCTTAAAGAGAGCGACCTAGTCCGCGACTCAGCTCCAGATTCGGTAACCTCGTCCCTTTTGTTGTTCCGTTCCTAACAGACACTAAATCCAATAACGCAATCAAAGTTGAGTTTTATTTGCGAGAACGTTTAACATTTAGTTAATTTCCAAGAAGTTGGTTCATTCGTAGAAGTGAAAAAAAATAATGAGATGAACTCTCTCCTCTCTCTTTGTCTTCTGCAAACTCGCCGGACATCACTTGCTCTCGGCGCTGATTACGGTGGTTGCCATCTGCCTGGACTACCAGGGCTGGTCCCGTGGCTGCCGATCCAGGGTCGACCCTTTCGGCAGAGAAACAAGATTGAAGGAGACTAGTGCTTGGTCACACCAAGCTATCAAAGGTAAAATCCGAAGACAAGGTTCTTTCGGAAAAAGGGTTTATTTTCAAGCCCGGAACCGATCTGCATGTCGGATCGAAAAATGTAAAGGGATTGTTTCCCTGTGGATGACAGCGAGCCCACCGCCTATGAAAAAGCATCGGCTGCAAAAAGGGGAAAAGTGGGTTTTCTCGCTGCCGACCTCCTGTAGATTGGCCGGTGAGGATATATTGACGGAGACCACTAATCCCCAATATGGATTTGAGGATATCAGGGGAAACCGCCCTGTGCACTAGATCGGAAAAAGAAAAGGGACGGTCTCCCCGCCGATGTATGAGAGCTCTCCCCCATGGAAGAAGTGTCGTGTGCTGAAATGTGAGGTATAGAGATTCTCGTTGTCGGCGACGATTGATGTGGACGAGGGGCTTGAGAGGGCAGAAAGACAGATGCCCCCGACCGTAACTAAACTTCCGCCGGCAGGGTTGTGTGCTTTTGGTGACAGTTATGAGGGACCGATTTTTTCGCCTAGAATTTGGTGGATCCGATCCGATCGTTATCCCAACGGAATATTTCTTTATGATACAGTAGCCTGTTTAAGGGGAAATCTCCCATATCAGACTCGTTATCCCATTCTCCTCTGTGAAAGCTTTGCCATGCTGGGACTCTTCTACCTGGACTGGAATCTCCTAAACTTTATTTAAGCATGAGGTCACGTCTCCCTTTCTCATCACAAACAAAAACAGGGAGTTAGTTGGTACCAGTGGCTAATCGGTTTAGTATCCTCAGGCAGCAGCCCAGTACAGTAAGCTCTTCAAGGGTTGTGGCGAAACTTCCCACCTTCCCTTTTCATCACTCGTCACTATCCCGAATCTCTGTAGATCGCTACCCTCGCTGTCTTTATGTAATAACCATATTTTGAATATGGCTGAGGTTACACAAGGACCAGATCACAAAGGTAGGCTAAGTGAACCTTCCCTTGTTGTGCAAGATAGCGAGACGGTGCGAGTAACTAATGACCAGGTGGTTCAGTTCTCGCTGGAGGAAGTTTAGTCAATGAAAGTTCATAGCTCTAGATCCCTTCTAAGGCGGCTCTTCTCGACCAGCCATACCACGACGAAGGAGCTCCGGGAGGGGTTGAATGGCCTGTGGCAAGGAACGGGGAGGATTAGAGTAATGGAAGAGAAGCATGGGTTATTCGAAATCACCCTGCCCAATTAAACGACCAAGAATTGGGTGCTTAAACACAGACCATGGGTGATTCAAGACAAGATTCTGCATCTCAGGACGTGGACTCCTAAAATATCCAAAAAAAACTTTTTGATGATCTTGCTATTGCTCCATTTAGCATCCAACTATGGGACATTAAGGAGGATTGTTGTACTCAACAATTCGGATGGAAAGTAGCTAGTGCTATGATTGGGCACGTGCTTGAGGCTGTAGTGTACGTCTGCCAGGAATCCGGCAAGTGCTTTGTGAAAGTACGTGCATTGATAGATTTCTCTAAACCTCTTCGCTCGCCAATTATGGCGACCAACGACGAGACTGGATGCTTCTAGGTTTCCCTCAAGTATGAACATCTACCGAACTTCTGCTTCCATTGTGGGAGAGTTGGTCACATGTCTAGATCCTGTACCTTTAATCCTCCCACTAGGAAAGAGAAGTTCGGCGCCCATATATCTACCAAGAAGCTGGGAACAAATATATATGAAGCTGATGAGGAAACACATTTCTTTAGGGGGAACCCAACTTCGGTCTGGGTCAATAGGGAGCTGCGAGCTCCGCGAGAAGAGGCGGGGCAGTCCTCACGTACGACGATGGGCGAAACATAGATTGTTACACCCCGCTCTTTCCAAAAGTCAAAATGACTATTATACCCTTGAGTCAAGTTCCACCGTACTATCAATGAGGATTAAAAATGTAAACTAATAGTTCAAACGGTGTCGAGTTTCGACATGAAGTGAGAAAATTATGGATGTTAACTGGGTTTCGGATTAAACTCACCCGTAATTATTGAATACCTATATTAACCCCGCACAATTAAACCCTAACCCTACTTTTCACTGGGCTTCACTCGGCAAATGCAACACCGCCGCCTAAGAAGACCTCATCCCTGTTTTGTCCCGTACCAATGGACAAACCCAATGGCCAATGATCGTGCGAGAGAAGGAACGAGAGGGACAAAGGGAGCTGGGAACCGATGCCATTCTACCTGGTGGGAGGTAACGATTCGACGAAGAGTTGGAAGATTCTGCTTTGTACCCGAGATCAGAACGGGATGCCTGCTTATTGCAACACGTACAAAGGTGGGGCAAGGATTAAAAAGGGGAGATGAGTCACCTGGGGGATGTTTGTCCATTACAGCTGCTAGTGAAGAAGCAATGGGACGGTGCCGATTGGTGGAAGGCCTTGTAGGATGTTTCCATGGCATTAAAGAATGGATGTCACTCATGTGAGGGTGGGGATGTCGCCGATCAAGCATGCAACGAACGAGTGAAGGGAAGTCAATCCCTCGACAGTAGTTGATTCAATTCAATCTGCTTCAACATAAGGTGAGTGTAAAGGGGGTAAATTTTACGCCTTACGATTTTTTCAAGTATTTGCTTTGAGTATTTTCAAGTATTGAGTTATTCGATGTATGTGCAATATTTGATTAATGTTTGAGATTGCATGTTTATGGTTGATTATATATGCTTTGTTTGAGCTATGATTTGAAGTGAATGTGGTTGAGATTATGAGTAACTTTGAAAGTTTACGTTTATGAGATATTATTAAAGTTTAAGAAACAAGTCTTTTTTAAGAAGTAACTCACTTTCAAGAAGGTGAAGTCGTTTTAGTTATGGTTGATTATATACGCTTTGTTTGAGCTATGATTTGAAGTGAACGTGGTTGAGATTATGAGTAACTTTGAAAGTTTACGTTTATGAGATATTATTAAAGTTTAAGAAACAAGTCCTTTTTAAGAAGTAACTCACCTTCAAGAAGGTGAAGTCGTTTTAAGTGTTTTTAGTCACCATAAGGTTACTGACGTTTTTCAATATATTTTTATCTAAAAATATATCAAAGTGGATATCAGTTTAAAGAGGACAATTAATCTTATTAATCTGTGCAAAAAATTTAAATTCTGACTTAAAACAATAGAGAAATCGTCTGTTAAAGATTAAAGGGGAAAATATAAAAGGCTTTCCATGAGAGAGAGAGGGGGATGTTGATGTCATGTTAATGTGGACGGATTACTCATGGTTACTCACCATAAGGTTACTGACCAGATCCGCTATCAACGATTCGTTATTAGCTAATAATGCATCGTGCATGGCTTGCACGTGTATAGCAGATTACGCATGCATGTACGAGTTACTTTGGCTCATTCCATATTGTTTTCCCGGCGAGAAAAACTAGATGAACAGAATTGGATTTTGAACCTTTGACTTCCAAACAAACGATCAAACAAGACAGTTCACACCTCTTTGAACAAAGTTCAAACAAGGGTGTTCAATGTTTTGATGAACTACGAGGCAAATCTACATTAAATTAGCCCTACTCCTATGGAGGTTCAGTGAGAGCTCCAAAAACTACGACTATGGCTAAAATCTGCAGAGGGAAAGATAAAAGGATAAAATTTGACATTGTGTTGTCTGGTGTGATTTTGGCGAACCCTTTCTCTGTCATCTTCACCTCCTATTTATAGCCACCAGAAGTAACTGCCCCAAGAAACTGCTCTGGTGACGTGGAGTGGCGGTTACCCTCTCAACTGCTTCGACAGTTACCTTGACGTTGGATGTAGACCAATTTTGACAGTTACCTCACTCCATGCTCTTGGTGTCTCCTCCGTAGCTTTGCTTGTCTATAGAGAAAAAATGGCTAGGGCATGAAAGCATACCACGTGCCACATATGGGTGGGTACTTGAATCACTTGAGTCAAAAATGGCAAAAATACTTCATCATTACGGGAGTAGGGAGACCACGTGCCCACCTGACCCCCCTTGACCACCTCACGAGGGTGATGTCTTGGTAGCCCCCCTGGCAACCTCATGGGGGCGATGTTGACTCCTTACCACGTCATGGGGATGGCAATATGGTACCCACCCCCTTGGTACCTCCTGGGGGTGGTAGCATGATGCTTGCCTCCCTTACCACGTCTCGGGGGTGGTATGATGGTGACCACCCCCCTTGGTACCCCCTGGGGGTGGTGGTATGATGCCCTTCTCTTTGCCTTAGCCAAATTCTGCCATCACCCCCCTCACCATGTCATGGGGGTGGCGGTATGATGCCCACCCCCCTTGCCACGTCCTGGGGGTGGTATGATGGTGGTCACCCCCCTTGGTACCTCCTGGGGGTAGCTATCCTTCTCTTTGCCTTAGCCAAATTCGGCCATCACCCCCCCCCCCCTCACCATGTCCTGGGGCTGGCGGTATGATGTCCACCCCCCTTGCCACGTCCTGGGGGGGGGGGGGGTGGTGGTGGTGGTATGATGGCCAACCCCCTTGGTACCGCCTGGGGGTGGTGGTATGATGCCCACCCCCTCTGCGTGTCATGGGGTGGCTCCCATACTTAGCCAAATTTGGAGATACAGGGCGTGCGTGGTGGCACGGAGTAATGGGCCCAAAAAACCCAATCTCCATGGCCCACTCAACTGATTTAAACTGATATGATTAAGTTGGCCTTATAAAGCCATTTAATTCCTTGTTTTTAACCGATGTGGTACAAGGTTAATTTTTTGGTGTAAACAATTGGCCCCCAACTACTTAGTGCATAAGAATTATGGACTAAGTAGTTTCACACCAACTAGGCCATCAAACTCAAATAGTTGGCCATACAATTTAAATGACGAAAACAATCCCAATTTCTTCTCCTTTGCGGTATCTTTTGAAGTTATTGGGTTAGAACAACATCATGCCCCCCTAGTTAATCCAAACTACTACTAATCATACCCCATGCCATTCGCCATCACCTCCATGTCTTGTCATGGGATATATAGTTCACACCTTACAAAATTTTAAAGTTTGGCATGGTTAGGCCACCTTAATGGCCTGACAATACTAGTAATGATTGAGGCTTACCAGTTGTGGCAAGATTCTCACATCAAAACCTACTAATTTCTTCTTAAACTTGCCACTTTGGGATTTTAAATATATATAGCCATGATTGGCTTTTCTATATTAATTAATATTTTTTTACTTTTTTTATTGTATATAATAAGTAGTTACATGCATAATTGATCTCCATACACTTTGGCAATAACCAAAGTGCCAAAGGTATACATCCACTGCCAAGTCCATGTATTAAACCAAACAAGCCAACCATACACCATATGGCCATGGTTGTTCAAAGGAGATGATTCTTCACAAGCTGACTTTGAATTACCCCCTACACCATTTTTTCCCTTCTGACCCTTACCATCACTTTGGACTTGGGCATGCTTGCCCTGGTCAGACACTATCACTTTGGAACCCGTGGTTATAGAGTTGTCCACCTCAATACTAGCATGACCATCCTCATTTTGTTGTGTTGGTATCACCATCTCACCAGGTACTACTGGGTATTGCCCCTTTCGTGCTTTGGCATTTTTACGTAGGAATCTCCTTCTTTGAGTCTTTGTCATCCCCCCAATAACTACTGGTTGACTATGCATATCATAAGTATGCCACCCTCCTTGTGACACATTGGGCATCTTAAAAGTTCTCCTCGCGGGAGGACTTCTAACGGGAGGACTACGCATGGAAGGAATGCCATGTGCTATCCACTGCCTTTGTTGCCCCCAAGCCGGTTGGACGACCCCCTCCACTTGTCTCTGATAAGAAGGGTATCTCGGCCTGTTCGGTGGGCGGAAGGCCTCGCCTCATCAAGTTTGAGGCTCTTCTTGCACTGAGCACACAACTTCTCAATTTCATCTGTCATCATTGCGGCTGGGCTAGCCTGCTTTGTACCTGACGAGCTCCCTTGTTCATGAGTTGCATTGGAGCTCCCATGTTGAGGCGGCGTTGTATCCAACACCAACTTGAAACGGGGCAACTCAATTTTGGATAGGTCCGGGTTAACCATGTTGATGCCTACCACGTTGGGAAATGGGTCAGTATCCACCAACATGGCATCCTTCTTTGGTTCCGGGAACTTGATACGCCCCTTCTCAATAGCATCCTGCAAGATATTACGGAAAACCACACATGAGTCAGTGGCATGTGACATGCTGTTATGCCACTTACAATACTTCTTTCCTTTTAATTTTTCGGGTGGTGGGATGTTATGCCCCCTGTCAACTTGATTTGGCCATCCTTGTAGAGTTAGTCAAAAATCAAGTCAGCTTTGGAGATATCGAAGGAATACCTCCGCGGCTGGATAGGGGCACGATTTGGTCTACCCCCTTGTGGTTCACTGTCCATCTTAGCCAAAGGAGCACATACATATGGCTTCCCTGGAGTTAACTCAGCCAGGTCTACCTCCACCTCATTGGCCTCTTGGCCAATATGGTTAACAGGGTAGCCGATGTTGGGGAAGTATTGCCCCCTTGAGGCACTCCTCCTATTCTCCTCTTCTTGAAGAAGAGATTCATATCTCACCGCACAAGACATGAGTTGGAACAAGTCAGAGAATTCTCTATCCTGGAATTTCTTCCTTAACTCAAAACTCAACCCCCCTTGTGCTAACTTGACAAACTCTCTCTCTGTCAAGTTGACAAAACAACGGTTACGAGCATTCTCGAAATTTGTCAAGAAGTGCTCTACTGACTCCCCTGGATCTTGGCGCATTCGTGCCAAATCAGCCATGGAAACCTCACGCTCAGATCTATAGAACTGAGCATGGAAGATTTGCTCCATCTGCTGCCATGTTTGGATGGAGTTCGATGGCAAGTTGACATACCAGGCAAAGGCAGGTCCTGTTAATGAGTTTCCAAATACTCTTAACTTAATAAAATCTCCTACATCCCCACACTGGACAGTAAAACGTCCAATGTGCTCCACAGTAGACTGGTCCCCTGACCCAGTGAATGTGGCAAACTCGGGCAATCTAAACCCCCTTGGGAATGGGTAGAGTCTATCCACCCACTCAGGGTATGATTTTCGATAAACAGGTGGCATGGTGGGTCTCACTCCCATGCCAAATTGCTCGGCAAGAAGTTGAGTCACCTGATCCCTTAGAGTGTTGGGATCATGCCCCCCTGGTTGCCCCCCTTGGGGTATGAAACCCATGGGGTCCATGCCATGCCCATTGAAATGGGGTGGCATGGGTGTTGGGTATGCTCTGGGAGGAACTTGATCTCCCCCACCTAAACCTACTCCCCCTCCCATGTGAGCAGGCACCGTATTGGGCCTTGCCACTGGTATGGGTATGGGTGGCGGTTCCGCTGGAGCAGAATGTGTAACTCCCAAATTCTCACCATGTGGGGGGATTTCTCCAACTCCCACATTGGGTATCCCTTCCACTTGAGAAGTGGCAGGAATCTCGCCGCGATCCATGCGGTGAGGAGTTGGTTGGTTTGTCATCGGCGGAAAGAGGTTATCTTGCCGTGGCTGACCATTTCCGCCGCCGACGGGAGATGAACTAGAATTTACAGCATTGTTAATGGGATTTGGATTCCCGCCATCTAATGGCAGAGCTCTAGATTGAATTATTGGTGTTGTTAAAAACCTTCTGAACTCATCAAAATCATTTTTATTCTTATTAACCACTTCAAATAATTGACTTAGACGTCTATCAACTCTAGAATTACGACAGTCCATTTGAGAATTTACCTGATGAGAAGCAGCTCTAGCCTCCTCCATCATGCGACGGTTCTCCACCATCATTTGGCGGTTCTCCTCTGTGGCTTGACGGTTCTCTGCCACCAGCTTGCGGTTCTCCTCCATCATTTGACAAAGGACTCCCACTGCTTCACCAATATCTACACTAGGCGTCGCCGTTGGTAGGATCTCCGCCCCACCATTGTTTCCGGCCACCGCCTTTGACACTTGGCCATGTTCAATGTTGGCCACTTGCTCCTCCACAAAACCAGCCAGAGCGTCACCTTGCTGATTCCTCCGCCTCGGAGCCATCAAATCGAACACACGGGTCCCACTGGGCGTGCCAATTTGTTTTCCCGGCGAGAAAAATAAAGGAAAGAGAATTGGATTTTGCACCTTTGACTTCCAAACAAACGATTAACAAACACGGTCCACACCTCTTTGAACAAAGTTCAAACAAGGGTGTTCGATGTTCTTGATGATCTACGAGGCAAACTAAATTACATTAACTCTACTCCTATGGAGGTTCAGTGAGAGCTCTGAAACTACAACTATGGCTATGACTACATTTGCAGAGGAAAAGGTAAAGATAAAAGGATAAAATTTGACATCGTGTTGTCTGGTGTGATTTTGGCGAACCCTTTCTCTGTCATCTTCACCTCCTATTTATAGCCACCAGAAGTAACTGCCCCAAGAAACTGCTCTGGTGACGTGGAGTGGCGGTTACCCTCTCAACTGCTTCGACAGTTACCTTGACGTTGGATGTAGACCAATTTTGACAGTTACCTCACTCCATGCTCTTGGTGTCTCCTCCGTAGCTTTGCTTGTCTATAGAGAAAAAATGGCTAGGGCATGAAAGCATACCACGTGCCACATATGGGTGGGTACTCGAATCACGTCCTGGAGGTGGTATGATGGTGACCACCCCCCTTGGTACCCCCTGGGGGTGGTGGTATGATGCCCTTCTCTTTGCGTTAGCCAAATTCTGCCATCACCCCCCTCACCATGTCATGGGGGTGGCGGTATGATGCCCACCCGCCTTGCCACGTCCTGGGGGTGGTATGATGGTGGTACCACCTGGGGGTGGTGGTATGATGCCCACCCCCTCTGCGTGTCATGGGGTGGCTCCCATACTTGGCCAAATTTGGAGATACAGGGCGTGCGTGGTGGCACGGAGTAATGGGCCCAAAAAACCCAATCTCCATGGCCCACTCAATTGATTTAAACTGATATGATTAAGCTGGCCTTATAAAGCTATTTAATTCCTTATTTTTAACCGATGTGGTACAAGGTTAATTTTTTGGTGTAAACACATATCAAGGTTGCTAGTTGCTTCATCACCATCTATCACCATTTAGCCGCCATTTAAGAAGGTGAAATAAAATAAAGAACCATTTGATGGGTTCTCTGAAAAAAACCAGTCGTCAGTTGGCAAAAAGTGCGATGTCGATTGTCGACAAGCAAACACTCTCGTTATAGAAGGAAAATAAAAGATTAATACCATTTTTGTCCAAAGTTTGGCATTGGCCTGAATTTTAGAATATACCAGTTATGCCTTATGAGTTATGTCCAAGCTTCCAAGAAATACGGCGTCGTGATGGAACTCTAGCTAGGAAAAATCCACAACGTCTTCATCTCCTCGGTGGAGGCCGCCGAGCAGGTGATGAAGATGCACGACGTCGTTTTCTCCTCCAGGTCTGCCACCCTGGGCACCGACATCCTCTTTTACGGCGGGCAGGACATGTTCTTCTCCCCCTACGGTGACTACTGGCGCCAGCTCCGCAAGCTCTGCACCATGGAGCTAGCTGTTCACCGTCAAGCGCGTCCTCTCCTTCCGCTACATCAGGTAAAGCGCGAATAGATGTTCTGTTCTAGAATTGAGATGTGATCCAATCTTTTAAAATAATATAATAAAACAAAATGGTGATAATATTGTTATCAAACAGGAAAATTCTAAAAAGAAATTTCGTCAGAATAAGAATCTATTAATAGTGAATATACATGCCTCTTCCATATATTCATGAAAATGTTGATCAATGACGAACACTATAGTATTAATTAATAGATTTAAATGCATTAATCACACACCACAATTTTATCACATACCCTAATATCAGGGCTGAAGAGGTGTCTAATGCAGTCGCCAAAATTTTTCGCTCCATCGCTAGTGGCAAAAGTTGTGGATCTCAAGCAATTGATATTTGTGTTGACCACTACCATGATTTCTAGGGCAGCTCTCGGCAAGGCTCCCAAGGTGATGACTGAGAAATTCGTGGAGGTTGCTGAGGAAATGGTGGGGTCGCTTGGAGGTTTCAGGCTATAAGATCTATTTCCTTGCCATCATTAATGGGTTCCGATCGAAGCTCTTAAAGCTCCATGGAGAGGCCGATTTGGTGTTGGACGAGATAATCAACGACCACATTGCTAATACTTTTTCCGACGACAAAACTGAGGACCTTGTAGATGTTCTTCTCAAGCTCAAGAAAAGTAACGATCTAGGCATTTCGTTTAACCATGGAAGCCCTCAAAGGTGTCCTACTTGTAAGAATTACATCCACACTTGTAGAATCCATGGTCTGCATCGGTTATTTACTCTGTTTTTTCACTTTTTGGGTTCCAACATGTGTGCAGGATATGTTTCTTGGTGGGACTGACACGACAACATCAGCGATAGAGTGGACAATGTAGGAGATAATGAAAAATCCATGCGTAATTCAAAGAGTCCAAAAAGAGGTGAGGGGCGTATGTCGGGACAATGTCGATGAAGTGAAGCTCCAGGAGTTGGAGTACCTAAATGTTGTTATCAAAGAGACTTTGCGATTGCACCCTCCTGCCCCGATATTTATCCCGAAAGAAACTTTTGAGAATGTGGAGATCAATGGTTCGAGATCCTCGTTAAAAGTAGAGTCATGGTTAATGCTTTGTCTATAGGAAGAGATCCTGCCTATTGGATCGAGCCTGAAAGGTTCGATCCAGAAAGATTTCTTAACTCTACAATCGATTACAAAGGAACACACTTCGGGTATATACATTTTGGAGCAGGGAGGAGGATGTTCCTTGGCTTAAATTTTGGGATGGTCGTCGTTCAATTCGTGCTAGCAAGTATGATTTTCCATTTTGATTGGAAACTGCCCGGCAGAATAAAAGTCGAAGATTTTGATATGAGAGTAGTCTATGATACCTTGCTGAGGAAGAAAGAAAAGTTGTACCATTTTCCTACGGCGCCTACGAGGTCACGATGAACACTTGAATAATGAGATATGAGATATTATTAAGAAATGCAAAAGTAGAAAACATGATAAAAATGTATGTCGGGTTATCCTCCCTTTAACTAGGGCTATATCTCTCATTTGCTATTTTAAGACTTGTTCACTTCCTTCTTCTTTGTCAATATAACTTATGAGTGAAAATAACAGTTTGTCTGACTTTAGAATTTTAAATGTATCTTCTCTACTTAAATAGTAGCCTTGTTAGAATATGATCATAGTGTGTACTCCAACCATTTATAATGTCTTATTAGTGTGCCGTTTCTTTCCCCTCTTGTTATATGCTCTGGGCCAACAAACTAAATATGACCATCCTATTTGATTGGTTCGTGATCAAGTTTGAGTTCTTATTCGATTTCAATTTTCATATCCAATTTCTAATAATTATCTAAAGTTTCTACGTGGAACTCTAATCTAATAATCTAATCGAGGTTAATTTTTGTTGGTGAGAAAGTATAAGGAAGTGGTGGATTCCAACAAGTCGAGTTATTAGTAATTGTTCGTGAAGTTTTTAATGTGTGTGTCTTTTATGGAGGATAAGAAAATCTCGTAATAAAGTAATTTTTGAGCTAACTCAACCACACATTTCTTCTCTAGCGTCTCAGTTACTTTTTGCTACCGAGTTCCTGAATTTTCCGTGTTGTTTCCCTCGATCCCTCCCATCCTCTTCCCCCACCTTTGCCCCCTCTTGCTTAATAATTCGCCCTCCATTTGACTTCATCAATATCAACTTCACGCTATCTGGAGATGCTAGGTATTTCGGACCCATACACAGTTGAGCTCCTTGCTGCCCATGATGCTCTCTTTATTACGATCAACAGACATATTCCCAAGGTGATCATTGAGGTGATTCCATGATCATCATTCGGACTCTTCGGATGAGCCGAGTCTTCGTATTTTTTTTTTCAATTGTCTTCTTCATTCTCTATCTTATTAGATTTTAGGGCAGTTCCACAAACTACGGACATGAATGTATATATAGAGTGATGCAACAGATCCTGCTAGGTTGTTATTGTTCGGTAGGATTAGCTTATTTCCACTTTGTATTGGACTAAGCGTAACGTACAAGTAGGATCTGGATCAGACTCGGCACACCAGCTAAATGTTGTGAGCCCAAGTTAGTAGAAGCCCAACGACTTTGTTATCAGCTAATGCATGCACGTGGACAGTTAATAGTTAACACATACGTACAAGTTGGTTACATGATTTTTGGAGGCCCTGTTAATAAATTTAAAACATGGCCCAAAATTGTTTTCCACACAAATTTAATAAAATTAAAATTATTACATAGTAAAAAAAATGCATAAGTTCGTAAAATGATTTCAAAGGAAATATCTATCACCGTTTAAAAAGGAACATCGTATAGTGTTATTTGAAATAAAATCCTCTATTAGCTCTTATCTTTGCATCATTCAAAAAAAAAATCTCAATTGCCAATATAGCTAACTCGTTAAGCCTCTCTTGTGTCATTGTAGAGCGCAGATAAGATTTCAACAATTTCAACTTCGAAAAGCTTCTTTCTGCTATAGCAATAGCCACATGAATAGTTAATAAGATTCTAAATGCTTGCATTAGGATAACAATCGACGCATTTCAAAAAATTTAAAATTTCAAAAGGAAGAATACATTCCTTAGGTAAAAAAAATCTTGTAATAACTTAATCTCGGAATATAAATCATAACCATCGATATAAGATTGGTCATTATTCGTTCAATATGCATGCAAGAAAGACTTCAAACATGAATCATCCAAGTATGAGTTAAGAGAGTGAATTAAAACAATATGAAAACAAAGGAATCCACATAGTAAATAAAACCAATAATTAGTTAATTAATTACTTACATGAATAAGTTGTGGGAACTCAATTACACCGTAGAATATAACAAGTTTAGAAATTAGTACAAACGTGTTTAGAAGAACAATGGAGACAAAATATTATAGTTGAGACTAAATGAGTAAGTTTCATCTATTTATAATAGGTTTCCTTGCTTTTTACCAGTGCTAGAATTGCTAATTGGAGACCAGCAATTTCGATAAAAATAAATTGGAGACCAGCAATGCAAGGGAGTAGGGACAGTGAAGAAATGGGCCTGAATTAGAACAGCTAAAGCAACGGATCCATGATTTGATTTTTTATCCGTTGAGTTGGAGTTGGAGTGGGATCCATTATTTGATTTACATATCCGTTGATCATTTGTATTGTATGGGCTCAAAGCAAAGCCCAAATTGTATCAAGTAGTTATAAATATGTGTATAATGTAATGGGTAGAGGCCCTAGCAATTTGGAGGCACTGTACTGGCGGGCCTGCCATCACAGGCTCAGGGCCGGGCCTGATTCGAAAAAGATGTTTTAGATAAGGTAGCTAGCTGGTTGGTGGTTAGGTACTTAGGTAGGTTATTTATCTATCTATCTATACATAATATTATGGCAATTCAAATGTAATTTTTTGCCACATAAGCATTTGGAGAACTCATAAGTTGTCAAGGTGGACAATTCTCTTACAAACAAAAAAATAATTATTGATATATTTATGAAGCTATCTCTCTCTTCATTGAATATTTCCTTTTCTTTTATCCAATATTTTTTTTTTGTGCTTTTGAATTATACCAATGTACATTGTAGTAGACTAATGTTTGAAGAGTGACATATATGATATATCACATTTGTTTAAACCCAAAAATACATTATTAGGTCTTACTAAGTAAGTTTTATACTTCTTTTACCTAAAACTTAATAAAGTTACATTTTTATGAATAATTTAAACAAACACACATAATTAATAACATTAATTCAATTAAACACAATATAAAAATGAAAATAGAGAGTGACATATATTATATTTTTTAAACTAAAAATATCTACTAATATCTTATCAAGTAAATTTTATACATTTTGATGAAAAATTAAACAAAAAAATATAAATAATAATATTTTGTATTAATCGATAGTAATAATAATGATAATATTTTGTCGATAGAACAAAATATAATGTTTGAAAGAGAGAGAAAAAAGATCTGAAATATAAACTTGACCAAAAAATAATATTAATTTCTTAAAAAATCTTTTTATTCATTATGATCAAGTGAAAAACTTAGGAATCACATGTGCAACAATTTATAATTTATCCTAAGTTTACACAATATATTAATGCTCTAGATCAAGTTCATTGAGCAAGCTCGAGTCATTAATAATCGAGGATAATAAATTAAAATTTCCAAAATGACTTAAGTATGATTGTTGACGTACTATGACTTCATTTTCTAGGATGAGAATGACATGTGTGAAGGTTAGAAATCTTTGTTGAGGATGTACGTTAAGGATCACGTTTCGTCAACCCCTGACCCTGCAATAATTAAATAAGGGTTGGAAACAGTTTTAGGCAAAGAAACACCAGAAACATGCTAGTCTACATGAAAAAAACGTTAAGCAAAGACATATGCAAGTCTCAATAACCACATATTTGCTAAATAAACTCTGTAGAAACTAAACCAATTAATACAAACCCAAAACAAAAGTGAGAAGTTTTACCACCTTGTGCAAGAACTCTAGCACAACAACGGGTTGGCTGGTGTAACGGCTAGAGCCAGTTTTACGGGCATAACTACTCAACTGCCGTCACAATCTGGGCAGGCTGCTCTATTGAGAATTCCTCCAGAGTCCCATCATAATGTGTCGGCACATCCTGTGAAGATAAGCACTAGAAACTCGAATCTCGGTTGCCGTAGGGCAGGACCGGATGCGGAGACGAAACCACGACGTTTGGCCCCACCGGGAGCTCCGACCGAAAGATGAAGCGCCAACCCCTAGGCACGCTGTCCGCAATCACTCGAGCGATCCCTTCCACGATGTCCTCCGACAATTTGAGACTTGATTCCTCCACCAATCGATTCACAAATTCCATCGCGCGCTCCAATTAAGTGGGCGATTGGCGCGACGGCTTCTGATTTTCGTCATACTTGGGCTGCAATCTGGCAGGAAGGATTTTAAACAAGTGCAGCGGTTGACGAGGCAGTGAACACGGGAAGGAGGAGGGACAGGCGACCTTCTTCTCGTCTATGAAAGGGGCGTCGTTGAATTCCCGGCAGCTACACATCGCCTTCTATTCCAATCGTCGGCGATTCAATCTCTATTCTTGTCGCCGGCCCAATCGTCGGCGATTCCTGGTGCTAGTGGAGGGATTGTGGTCATTGTTGATGTCTCCGGGAAGCTGACGGAGTAGAGAGCGGCATTCCCGTGCGGAGGAGAAGCTCTTGTGGCATTCCCGCGCGCAGAGTAGAAGTTTCCGTCAGGAAATTGATCAGGATATTGTATGGGAGAAGTTGATCAGAAGAATTAGTGGGGAGAGAGAATAATACAGGATGGGGTAATTAATATTTAATTTAATTTCTAATTTTGTTATTTTTTGTGAGTTTCCGTTTTTACCCTTGTTGTTACTATAAAACACTTAAGGTGTTGTTATTAGGGGTGTACATGGGTTGGGTGGTTCGGGTTTAGACATTTTAATCACCCGATCCATGTACTACGATTTGAAAAATATTAAACCCAAACCCACCCAATAAATTTCAAACCCTACGGTTTGTTTTTAATTGGGTTGAGTCGGGTTGGCGATCTTTTAAGTAAAAACCCAACCCAACACAAAATATGTAATTATTCTACACCATAAAAATATTTTATAACTAATTAAAATTTCAAACGAATAAACCGAAGTGAATGGTATCAAAATTCACAAATGTTATTTGAATTTTAATAAAATTTGATTTACTTCAACATATGTCTAGGTTTTTTCACGATATTTGTTGAAATAGGCTAAAAAGGTTATAAATGAACGCATCCATAATATGTTATTCGATTAAAATTGTACACAAGAAAAACGATTACGTGAATCATAGCTATATTAAATTTATGTCTACATTTTAAGCCGAAGAATGCATTAGATTAGGGAGACCATGAGAGAAAAACATGACAGAATATCTTAATTTTCTCATAAGTATGACTATATGCGACATAAATATTTTTTTGGATACGAATTCATACCAATAATTGGAACACGGGTTGGGTCGGGTTCTACGGGTTATGTAATCCAAAATCCAAACCCAACCCAAAAGAGGCAGGTTGTACAAAAGAAAACACTCACCCAACCCAAAACCTTCGTTTTAGCGATAAATACGGGTGAGTTAGATCGAGTTGGACGGGTGGGTCGATTTGCTGGTGTGTTTGTTCACAACCCACACATGGAGGTGACACATGGGAAAAGCTGCTTTGTGGAATGGAGTTGGTGGATATTCAATTAAAATTAATTAGTGGCAACGTGATGAATAATTGGCAATTGGGAGAAGAAGAAGTTCCGCAGCAGCACATGAGGAAAGGCGGAATTCCAATTCCGTCGAAGAAAGGGAAAGGCTGGACGCGCGCAGCGTGTGGAGAAATTGGGTTTAGTTTGTTTGTTTATTTATTTTATCTGGTTATTTCGTAGTTTTAGCCTTATTTAATTTGTCTTTATGTTTGCTGCGATTTGTTTTTCCTATTCCTAGACGGTTATATTTATGTTTTTTGACCGAACTTGGATTGTTCAACTAATTCGAGTGACTATAAATGCAATAAATCAATTCGGGTGGCAAACATGAAATTTTTAAGCAATTCGGGTGACCAAACTTGCAATTAAGCCGTTTCTACCCTAAGTATATTGATGCATTTGAGATTTCGTGTAAATAAATAGATTCATATACATCACAGCTTTCGAAAAAAGAATGATGCAACTTGTTCAATTGCATGCTATTGCAAAATTTCCCCTCCCAAATACACAGCCAAATGAGCTGAATGTGACCTGAAGCTGTCATCTGAGTATAACCTGTTGATTGGCATCATAATTGATTGCTTATTTTGGGTTTACATGGTTCTGGGAACATCTTAGTTGAGAGTTTTGTTCTTTTAGGCATCAAATTTTGAGAGGTCTCAATTGTATCTGCAGCTTTCCATTCATGCTGCATTTTACACTATTGTTTGTTTTCTTTGTCCAAGTACACTATTTCTTAGTGCTTTATAAGTTTGGATACTGATGATGTTCTAATTTATATTGTGCAGATGGGTTCCATTTGATGTGGCAAGGCCTTTACTTGACAAAAATCCATATGTTGTCCTGTCATATTTTGCACTCTTGCAGAATGGGGAGTCCTTGCTGCCTCATGTTCCCGAAAAAATAATGGACGAGCCGCAACATGACAATGATATGCACGGGGACTTGAATGATAATCATGTAGATGACAACGAAGAAATGGTCGAACCTGAATCCGACACCTCTGATGATGAGTCAGGTCCTGAAACCAGTGGGCATGGATAAGTTGAAATAGAGGATGGTGATGTTAGTGAGATTTTAATTGGATTGAATGGTGCTCGTGTGAGGTACCAGGTAAGGCTTGTGCCATCCACTGATTTTCCCCCGGAATTTCTTCCTATAGTTGTTCTGTATGGCGACATAAGTTGCAGAATGAATCATTGATAAGACATTATGATTTATGAGTACAGAGAAAGTAGTGTATCGTAGTTAACCTAGTTCGACAGTGAAATTTCGTTCTAGTACACGAGTCGTGGACCTGCGCACATAGACACAAGCATGCTAATGTCACACAATTGAGATGTCGACACTAACTCTGCTAGTTACTTTTATTTTGAAGGATCTGAGAGCAACTCTTGAGGCAGAAGAACTGAAGTATTTGGAGTCCCAGCTGCACAGATACAAGAGGGCTGTCGGCGCAGGGCTGTCGAAGAGAATAGTATTTGCACTTGAGTGATACAAGAGGGCTGTGCACCTTGATCATGTCTCTGGTTTTCTTTCATGTAGGTGGTGTTGCTTCTTCGCTCGAAGCGAAAATATCATCTTGGTGAATGGTGATGGCTGATCTCTTAGTTCCCTCAAGCAAGGTTCATGTGGTTGGGTAGAATGTAGATGGCGACGATGTCAATTCGATCGGTGTGTCTGCTGCTGCTGGCTCTTGGGTACTCACTGGATGATGCACTTTCCTGTTTCAAATCACAGTCGCAGTTTTCTTGCTCTGCATCTGTGCACTAAGTTGTGGGACGACGTGGATATATACAACCAACGGTATTATCTCGAGCAAGGACCGTTGGATCCAACCGATTTGTACGACCAACCCAACTATCGGTCAAGAGATGTTTGGAACGATCACCCGGTACATGCAATTCTTCATCATTTGTCTTTCTTTTAATTTGCTAATGTATTTAGTGGTATATGAAATAAATTTATGTTCAATTTTTAATCGTGTTGGTTGTTTTCGATAATTTAATCGAATACATAGTGCCACTTACTTCGACTCTTTAAAAAGAGATGCACGTCTAAGGAAATGAGATTTTAAGCGATTATCATATCCTCTCATTCCCTAGGAAAATCGGGTATTAAGAGATCCTCGGATCCCCCCTTTTTCTGTCAAAAAGACTGCATTTCTAAGATGTATACCTCTTCTAAGAGTATAACGAGTGTTGCTCTGCATTCGATTAAATTATTTAAAACAACCAATACGATTTATTTTTATGTGTACAAAATGAATTTTATTAATTTCAAATATTTGAATTTGTATGTTTCTCTTTAAATTATTATTCATTTACAATGTTATTTATGTTAATTAATTTAGTATGTTTGTTTTACGATAATATTTATGTATCTCTTTAAATTATTATTGATTTAGAATGTTATTATGTTAATTATATGAAATGTATTTTTATGATAATAAAATTCTGCTCAAAGTTAAATAATTTAATTAATTTAGTTATAAGAAAAAATCCTTACTAATATATAATAATTAACGTGTAAATTTTCGCTAGGAGGCACAAACAATACTCCGCTATAGGGGTATGACCAATGTGCACCCATTCCACCCAGGTATCTTGCCATTTCTCAAAAGGGCACGGTTGGACCGGATTAGGCATTTTAACGGCATCAAAGTCGATCGCCAACTCATCACCGCATTAGTTGAGAGATGGAGAAAGAAAACCCATTGTTTCAACTTTAGAGAAGGAGAGGCCACCATCACGCTAAAGGATGTCGCCATCCTAACCCATCTACCCATCGACGGCAAACCAGTGTGCGCGAGTGATCATCCATCCGAGGATCGTGACGGTATGCCCGGTTGGGTTTATTTCATCCACAGTGTTTTGAGGGTGAAAGTACCAGTCAAGGGGAGCGTTGATGCGACCGATCGCTTGCCACCAATGAGGAAACACCAAGCCTCAATTACTTGGTTGACGAAGTATTTTAGAGACCATTACGAAAGTCATCCCCTAACTGAGAAAAGTCCGGAGGATGAGAAGGAAAGATATGCTCGTGTCTATCTCATAGGCATGATCGGATGAGTGTTCTTCTCCAAAAAAATCAAGCAATCTCCTTAGCTGTGGATGGCTTAGGATCATCCTCGGTAGTTGGGAGGAGATGGGGGAGTTTAGCTGGGCATCTGCTTGCCTAGCTAATATCTACCACAATTTGTGCAATGCGTCTCTAAAATCTGTGAGGGAGGTCGCCGACGTAATGTTCATCGTTCAATTTTGGGCTTGGGAGCATATGTCATGGATTGCACCGGTCCAACGTCCCGACGGGGATTGGCCAATCGATCATCCCCTAAGAGGTGAAGCTTATGGTACAAGTTATCCATCCCATACGGGTAATGGGTACCCGTTTCCCATATGGGTTTGGGATATGGGATGGACTTTGGTCTCCAAATGGGACTGGGTACCCGTTTAAAATGGGACGGGTATCCCGTCCCGTTGCTCACCCTTACTTTTGGTATATTTTTTTTGAATTTTTGAATAGATGAATCATTAATCTAAAAACTAATAGGAGATACAAGTATATATCTTAAACTGCATTATACACAAATTGTGATATTATTTACAATTGTTTACAATATTTTGGAAAACTAGGACTTTGCTATTGTGGGTTTGAAAAAACGTCTACCGCTTTCTCAAAAAGAAAAAAATGGATAGATTATTTTTTTTATTTTCTTACGTGATTTGCATCTTCAATTTTATCATATGAAAATTTTCATCTTTGCACGTGTCTACTCCATTTAGACCTGGCAAATTATCACCCGACCCGATCCGGCCCGAAAATAGAAGTTTTTATAACCTGAAATCCAAATGACCAAAACACGATGAACCCGTGAATTTTTGGGTCGGATTGGGTGGCTTAGGGGGTTGACCCGTTTCGTTTCATATGTCACTCCTAAAATGATAAAATCACTCATAAATTGATGAGATGTTTAAAAAAGTTCACAAGAATTTGAAAGACAGGTTTGGAGTTTAAGGATAATCAAATATCATATGTTTCTTGTAGTAGTATTACCCTTGTGATTGTTTTTTGACGATTTGTGCAATTTGTATTTCATTTCATTAGCATGGCGGGATTTGAGAATATGTTAATTGACATGTGTTAGATAAACTATTGTCATGCATATGTGAAGTTTTGTGTTCTTTAAAAAGAATATGAAGCATGTTTTACATTGTTTTTTGAGAACGCTCATAACCCGAAACGACTTGTAACCCGGTACAAAACTCGATAGATAGATTGTATCAATATTTGACTCGAAACAGCCAACCCAACATGACCCGACCCGTAATCTGAGGCCTCAACCAAAAATTACCCAACCCGACCCGATTGCCAGGTCTAATTCCTTTGTATTGCAAATTGAGTGTCATGTAAGATTCATAATCGGTCAAATATCATTGTTGTGGATGAAATTTGAACTAATAGGTGAAAAATTTAAATATAACTAATTTTGTATTATTATTTTAATTGACAATTAGTCACTATTATATATTCGACTTAAAGAAGTCAAGAGAGGAGTGAGAAAGTAGAGAGCGGATTCTCCCAATTTTTCGGCCGCTAGGTTTCCGATCAAGCGTCCCGGTCGCACCGGCTCCTACGCCGGTGTGCGAGTGAGGTTGGTTTTTTCTGTAATGGCTTCTTCTTCTTCATCGCCGCCGAATGCGACTTCGCCCCAGGGAGTTCCGGTGAAGCCCTGGGCGGACCTATTCGGCATCTCTGAGGCGAATCGCCTATGCTATGTCAAGCCTGAGGTCTACAAAGGCGGCCTCCGTATGCCCTAAACACTCATCGACGAGGGTGCAGCTCGTTGGAAGCACAGCCTAGTCGGGCAATTTCTTCATGAAGCTCCATCGCTTCCTGTGTTACGGAGGTGGGCAAACAAGATCTGGGGCAGGGATGGGATAGTTCGTGTTTCGCTTCTGGGGGATAAGCTGCTCCTGATACAGCTGCCTACCCAGGCCACCTGTGATTGGATACTGGAGAGTGGCCCCTGGTTCTACTTCGATAGTCTGTTGTACCTGCGTCCATGGAAGCCGGGGATTAATGTTGAGGACCTGGGAAGGAAGGCTTTGCCTATCTGGGTAAGGTTCACTAATACTCCTCTTGAGTATGTTAATTTTCAGGGGTTGAGTCGAATGGGGAGTTGGTTGGGTGTACCTCTTGGTGTCGACCAAACTACTAGGCTAGGTGGACGTTTAGGGGTGGCAAAGGTCTTAGTGGAACTACATGCTTCTGGGGACTTTCCTGATCACGTCCTAGTCTGGCCTGATGATGATACTTTGATAAGGGTGGGTGTGGAATACAGTTTTCTTCCTCCTGTTTGTCAGGGGTGTTGTTCGTTTGGGCTGGATTGTGGTTGTGCTAATAAACAGGGTGAGAAACAGGGTGAGAAAGTCTGGGTGAGGAAGGATAACAGGGTGCAGGAGAGGGTTGCCGTGGAGAAAAGCAAATCAGGGGGAGTATCCTCAGGTAGTCTAGTGGACAAGGTGGGAAACGAGGCTGGGGACCAAAATAAGGGTAAGGGTAAGGAGAAGATGATAGAACAGGAGGTTACCCCGGACAATACCTCTGTGATGGTTGGGTCAAATCTAATCCAGTGTGCAAATCTGGATCCTCAGTTTCAGGAGGCTGCTCTATCTCCTCATCTCCCTTCAGAAGATGATTTTCAGCTTGTGGTAAATGGAAGTAAACATCGAGTGTGGTCCCCTAGCCCCAACCCTAAGAGTGTATTGAGCATGGCTCGGAATTTTGAAGTGTTTAACAAGTACAATGAGGATGATGTTATTAAACTTCAGGAAGCACCAAAAAAAGGTAGCAAGAAGGGTGGGAGGCTTACCTCCCCACCCCTGCCATGAAGATCCTATTCTAGAATGTTAGAGGGTTTAACAAACCTTCTAAGAGGTAGGGTTTTGTCCAAACTCTGCGTAGTTATAATGTAGATATAGTGGTCATTATTGAAACTAGAATAAGACAGCACAAGTCTGAGGAAGTTGCTGAGAGCTTTTGTCCTGGCTGGCATAGATTCTTGAATTATATAGAAAGTGATTTGGGAAGACTATGGGTATACTGGAATCCTGATAAGATTATTGCGAGGGTCTTGTCGCCTGGTAAGCACTTTGTGCATCTTTTGGTCCAAAGTAGTGATGGGGAGTCTTGTTTTATTACTGGTGTTTATGGTTCTAATGAAGAGGCTGAGCGTAGAGCTACATACCATGCTATGACCCCTCTAAAGGTTTCTTCAATGCCTTGGATTGTGGGGGGAGACCTTAATGCGGTTCTCTGACCCTCTGACACGTCAAATCTAACTGATATGACTAGTTGTATGGGTGATTTTAAAGGTTGGGTGTCTGTCATGGAGTTGTTTGATCATCGAGTGGTTGGGCCACATTTTACCTGGACAAATAAACAGGAGAAGAACCCTATTGCGAGACGTCTAGATAGAGTGTTGGTGAATGAGGAGTGGTTTGATGCATTTCCAGAATGTGTGGTGGAAGTGGTTATTGGCTCCTTCTCAGATCACTGTGGAATCTTAGTTTCTACCAAATCTGATCAGTGAACACTACCTAAACCTTTTAAGTATTTTGACTTCTGGTATGAACATCCTGACTTTATGCAGATTGTTAAAGAGGGGTGGGATACTCAGGTCCAGGGAGTGCCTATCCATAGAGTCAAGGTCAAGCTAAATGAGGTGAAGAAGGGTTTGAAGAAATTGAATAAAGAAGCATTCCTGGATCTGAGTGGTCAGGTAAAGAGGGCTGAGAGTGTCTATCTTGCAGCTCAGCAAGAGGCTCTGAGAGCTCCATCCACTGATAATTTCTCAGCGGTTACTTCTCATCAGAAGAAGTGGGAGGAATTGAAGGTAGCAGAGTAAGGGTTGTATTGGAGAAAGGCCAGAATTAGAGCTTTAACTATGGGGAACAGAGGCACCAGGTATTTTCATCAGTCTGATAAAATCAAGACTGCAAAGAAAGCTATTAGGAAACTGGTGCTGGATTCAGGAGAGGAGATTACAGATGTTAAGCTTATAGTTGAGGAAGTAGTGAAATTCTATCATACTTTGTTTGGGATGGTGGATCAGGCAGTGAGTCCAAATAAGTTGGAGCTAGAGGCTCTGGTTACTAAACGACTGTCTGAGGATGAAAAGTCAATGCTTTGTGGGGCTGTCACTTCTGATGAGGTTAAAATAGCAGTCATGCACATGAATCCACATAGGGCACCTGGCCCTGATGGATTCTCTGCTGGCTTCTTTCAGAAAACTTGGTCTATCATTGGGGAGGATATCACAGCAGCAGTCCTTGATTTCTTTTCCTCTGGCAGGCTTCCTAGCAGTGTTAATTCTACTGCTGTTTCCCTGATTCCTAAGGTAACCTCTGCCTGTAAACTTAAAGATTTCAAGCCTATTTCATGCATTAACATACTCTATAAAGTCATTGCTAAGCTGCTATCAAATATACTAAAGAGGGTTCTCCCTAGTGTTATAAGTAATAATCAATCAGCCTTTATAGAAGGGAGGAGGATCGTGGATAATATTCTTATGGCTCAGGAATTGGTCAGTAGTTATGGTAGAAAGAATCTCTCCTCTCGATGTGCTATCAAAATTGATTTGATGAAAGCTTTTGACTCGGTAAACTGGGATTATCTGTTTTTAATGATGGAAACTATGGGATTCCCTGTCAAGTTCATGTACTGGATTAAGCTATGTGTTAAAACCTCTAAGTTTAGTATTTGCATCAATGGGGGGCTCTGTGGTTTCTTTGGGGCAAAAAGAGGGGTAAGGCAGGGGGATCCCCTTTCCCCCTACCTTTTCACCATTGCTATGGAAGGACTATCTTCTCTACTTAACAGAGCTGCTGAAAGGAAGCAACTGATTTACCACCCTCAGTGCAAACACATAGGTTTAACTCACCTATGCTTTGCAGATGACCTTCTGATATTTACAGAAGGCTCTGCACAAGCAATGTGCAAAGTTCAGGAGCTGTTATCTGAGTTCTATTCTCTTTCTGGACTTAAATGTAATCCGAGTAAATGTGAAATTTACTTTGGGGGGCTATCTGAGCTGTACAAGAGTAATGCTCTTCAGTTGTCTGGGTTTCAAGAGGGAAAACTCCCTGTCAGGTACTTGGGGCTTCCATTATTTTCAGGAAAACTCTCCTCAGCTGATTGTGACAAATTGGTTGAGAGAATCACTCAGAAGATTGGGACTTGGAGAGTGTTGAGTAGTCAGGTGGGGGTGGTGGGGGGATTCTTTGCTTCTCTGCAGGGTTACTTGCCTTGAGTAACCCTTTTCGTTGTATCAGTCACTATATGTACTCTACATATAGTTTGGGTAATACAAATGCAGCTGATTCAACGGAAAAAAAACAATTAGTCACTATTTAATAGTGAAATATTAGAGTTGAATGTCACATAAGATAAATATATCAAAATAGGACGACCAGTAATGAGTGGTGAAATAAAATAAAAACGTAAATCTAGTGATCGTTGATGAAATTAAAATTTTAAAACAATAAGCATATAATAAATAAAATAGTTGACGTGACCAAACATGCTATGAACCCCAATTTACGAATACAAACTTATAATAAACACTATATTAGAGTGCCAAATTATTCATTAATGTAGTTTAAAATACTTATAAATTTAAAAATAATATAACATAGTGTAGATAATGCAGGTTGAACTATATATATCAAGGTTGTAATATAAGTGTGAATATTCGGTATATGTTGGATCCAAGTGCGACATGCTATTTTGGTGTAATGTTATATGTTATTACTCATATGTTAGATAAGTTTTAATATAATTTATAACTGCATAAATAATATAATTTTTTTTATATATCCTTGCTAAACTTGGCTAAAATGATTGGACCATTAACTCTCAACCCGCTTACTCGACTGGACTAATGTACTAAATTGGGTTGACAACGTTGATAGATAATATACATGCACTAATAATTAATTTTATATTAATAATTGATCAATTCGAAAATTAGAAAAAAAATATACCAAAAGACTAAAAAGCAGATGATAAGTTTACCCAAAAAAACTAGATGAAAAAAATACATTTTCCCGTAAAACGCTTACCCTTTATAAAAAAAAAAAAGCAACCTGCTGCTATACCCAGTGAATAGGAGGCGGCAGCGGTACAGTAGAATTCCCTCAGAGTTTGTCTTGGATCATCTACAAAACACTATAAGGCAATGTCAAAATACAGCTTTTGCCACGTCAGCCCATACTGGAACCGCCGCACAGTGCGGAGGGGTTTTTCAGTCAATTCACCAAGCCTCTTCTTTCTCGCATTCTGGCTCCTATCTCCACCGGAAATCGAACCCTTCTTTCATTGTCACCGAAATCGAAAACCTCCATCTCACAGCCTGTGTTTTTTCGCCGATAGCTCCTGCAGCGTTCCTCCGTGCCGGAATCGAAGACCTTCTTCTCAAGCCTGTCTTTATATTTTGCCGCCCAAAGCTCATCGAGTCTTCCCAAGCATTCAGTCTCCAATCCCTACCGGAATCGAAGACCTTTCTCTCGCCGTCCAGACTTTGTGTTGTGCTGCCGAAACCTCCTACTAAAAACCCCTCATCTGATTCATCGGGAAAAAACCCCTCATCTGCCATGTTGTCCTCTATTTGTGCTCCCACCCGTTGCGTCTCTCTGGCTCTTGCCGTCTGTCACACTCTATAATTTCTCCAGCGCCGTCCTTTACCAAATTAATCCTAGATAACGCCCCTCTCTCGCTGTCGCTGTTCTTCTCTCTGAACAGCATCTACAAAGGGAAGGATAACGCTTGAGCCTTATATCCTGTTCATGTAAGTTCCTTCGCTTTGGTTTTTTTGTATTTTTGCTATTCGCAATCTGTAAATAAGATTTGTGTGGTGTGTTTGTACCGATTATTTTTCATTTTTCAATGCGCGTTCTTTCCAATTTGCATACCATATTACCATTATTCTTTGTCGGTTTTGTGCTACAGTGGTGTGCGTTTTGTTCTTTGAACGAATTTAGACCCAATTTTTGGATTAGGAAGGGAGGCACAGTTTGTTGAAGAAATAATCTCCCCTGAATGATTGGTTGCCTTTTGTGATGAGATTTATATTGGGTCTTTATCGATTGCAGTAATGCCCCCAATGTGTTGCCGCCCGGATACTTCTTCTAGCCAGAAGAATGGTTCATATACTTCCAACACTCTCAATCTATGTAATATTCTCTTTCTGAATTCATTTTGATGTTATGTAAAGATTGTATGAATTATATGCAAACAACTGTTTAGTGATATGATTTTCTACTCAATTATGTCTTTGTTAGGGAAAGGGAGGACCATATGATTTTTGTGCTTTCATTTTCAATAGCAATACTTTTAGGTCGATTACTGATACTGTTTTCAAAATGACAAAGGGTTCGAGAGGTCCAGCTTCGAGGTCAGTTTGAAGTCGTTGAAGGGGAATAAATTTCAATTCTTGGTGAAAGCTCTTGCCCACTTTTATACGCATGGACTATGTGGTTTTGAAAATCATGAGTTGTTAAGATAAAACCAAAGATTGATTGGGCAATCGTGTTTGGAAATACTCTGCATTTCATTGTTTAGTTCATCGTTGTCATGCTTTATGATAGAACAATTGGATTTCGTATTGTACATATTCTTGATTTTAGTAGTTTGGTTTTGATTCTCGAGCTGTGTTTTGAGGGAAATTTTAGTTTTAGATTGTAAATAGTTGGACATGAATCATTGGCCTGTCATCATTCTCCTGCTTCGTAGTTATGAGAATTTGTGTTTCGGATTTTAAGATTCTGGGTCTTCTTCCTTTTGTCTTTGTAGTAGTCTGATGTAAGACTAAGATTCTGGGTTTCTTTTCCTTATTACGTATCAAGAAAATAAACCATGGACTCAGTTTTAGAAGGCCCATAGAGCCATGTCTAAAGAAATAAGAAAGTCTCAATAATGGGTTTGTGAAAGGAAAGCCTTGATATTCCAGAAGTGCATCAGTTCAATAATGGGTTTGTGAATATTTGTTAGGGGTGTAAAATAATACTTTTATATATGATACAAGTTTAAGAGCATCTATTATTGCATTCTAATTCTAGAGAACAAAGTTTCAATACACATGTTTTGATTGCTAAGGTCCCAAATGTTCAGATTCCCATGATTTCAATTGCTGAATTGAATGAATTAAAAAACATGGAGGATAATAATATAAGGTTTTGCTTTCATGTACAAGTTGTAAGACATTGACCCCTGTAATTTATCTAACAATGTCCTGTCTTGGTTGTCAACTTTAGGAAAAGGTTTTTGCTATTGAATGGCAAGTTACTCAGATAAGGTCTAATTATTGCTACATAGGGTGTGTTGTATGGCCTCGCAAAGTGGAAGAAGGCTTAGAGGAGTACTTTTGTGGACATTGCAAGACGACATCTTGAGTTGCTAAAGCCAAGTAAGTTTATAACCTGTTTCACTCATTTTGGAAAGTGTAATTTGCACTTTTTTTTGCTATAGGAATTATCATATGACAACATTGTGGGAGAGGGATACAAACTCATGACTTTTGTTCAATTTAATTCCATATTGACCGTAATAGAGTGCAGCTCCATTTGGAAGATGATACAGGTGGAGCAGATTTTGCCATTTTGGAGGGTGAAGGTCTGCGTTTTTGGAGTAATGGATGATGTTTTATTCCAGGAAAATCAGAGGAAGGAGGAGTCTATTCCTCCACAGATTCAGCAAGTTATTAATATGAGACTCAAATTACAAGTTAAAGTTACTAAATTCAACTTCTTGAATCCTCAAGCTGAGTATTCTGTGGTTAAAGTAGATCCTGATCCACTTGGTGTAAGTGAAGAATATTCCAGTTGTACTTAAAAATAGGAATTTGAACTTCAAAATGGTATGGATCTGTTTAGTTTATTATAGCAACATTTCGTTATACATAGGTTTGTCACAAGTTCAACTTAGCATTTCCTTTTTTCCTTGGCAGCAACAAGTCTATATATAACTTTTGACAGCATCCATTCCAATTTCCTGACTGTGATGCTGCAACCTGTAGGGATATTGCTTCCCAAGGTTATCAAGTTATGTATAAGCTTTTATTTCATGATTTTATTTTTCCTTTTGTTATGCTACTTCATACCTTGCTCGGTAGCTTCTTTGCAGTCGGTAAAATGGTTTATAAGAGCAAATGAAAATTTTCTATCACCACGAGCAGATAACTTTTCCCCGTTTCTATCGAACCCATACTTTCCAAACTTGGACCAATACTCACTGATAAAATGGTCGAAGTTACAAATTCAAATTGCTTATTGCTTCAGTATTTCATATTTTACAAGCCAAAATAATATTACAAAATAATACAACAGAATACACATACCGATTTTATAGTACACCGGCCAACGGGCCGGGCCCACTTCTAGTTAGTAAACCCACAAACACCTTATTTATAATCATTGATCGGCATAGCATAATAATAGGTCTCCGTTGGCGAGGAGCTTAGTGAGGAGTTATGCCCGTCATTTACAGACCAACAGAAATTCGGGTCACTAAAATAAAAAGCTAGCTTCGTCCCTCTTGGAAATTCCTTTTCCCCATGCGCGCTCTCAACAATCAGACGCCGATCGAGTAAGTAGCACTAAGCAGGCGTGGCCAGGGGCGGAGCTACCTTAAGGCTCGGGGGGGGCCGGAGCCCCCCGAGAATTTCGTAGATCACATATAAATACATCGAGAATTTTCAAAATTATAAAATAATTTAAGTCTAATATAATTATCGGAGTGCGCAGAAGTGTATCAATGTTTCTTATAGTCTAGTGGTCTTGTTGTTGGTTTGTCTTATGGCTGTACATTGTTTGAATCCCCAGCGGCGGCAAAATTATTACTTTTCCTAAATTTTCTTTAATTTTTGCTTAAAGTTAAACTTAAATACTTAACTTTAGTTCAGCTTTTGATTAAAATTAAACCCAATTACTTAACTTTAGTTTAGTTTTTTCTTAAATATCAATTTTATTTTGCAAATACTAATATGCATATACAATTATTGTTCAATTACAATAACAAAGAATAACATGGTAAAGGTTAAAAAAGAAAGATTAGTTTTTTCTTTGTCGTTTATTATTTATCTTGAACATACTGACAAAAAAATATAGTTCATATCATATGTTTAGATTTTTTAATTATCTTAAATAATGTATGCACGGTAACACTAATAAATTTTGGTCATATCATATATTGTTATTGTTTTAATTTTTGACGATCCTATGGAAAAAAATTCGGCCCCCCGACTTCTGAATCCTGGCTCCGCCCCTGGGCGTGGCCATGAAAACGGGACCACGACTCCCATTCGACGTCTCCTCCTTCTTGCTGCCGCTTGGGCCCGCCGTGAACCAGGTGGAGAACGAACAAATAAAATAAGCCCACGCCGACTCCAGTGAGATAACGGCAAGAATGATGAGGACCACCATAACTCCCGCCCGACACCTGAGCTGGATCCATGGACTCCGGCGATGACAGCGGTCGGACTGTGGCGGCGACGGTAAAGGATCTCATTGTTGTTAATTGTAATTAAGTGGGCAGAGTCGAAAGTGCCAATTTACGTACAGACTACAGACAGGGAGTCGCATCTGTTTGGGTTGGTGGGTAGAGAGATGGGCTTTCCTTTCCCAATTAGGTTACGAATTTGATTTGGACCGTCGATGGGCACCTGGGCTGGGGCGACAATTCGGTCTACCTATTAAGACTATTTTGATGTCATTTTTTAATTTTGACACATTTTTTGTCAATAATTAAGTATTACCTCATCAATTAAGAAAACACACGTGAGATGACCGTAGAATTATCACATGATTGACAGACTGAGTTATGTCATCAAATAAACCATCAAAATATTGCATTAGCATTCGAAGAAACAAAAATCAATCATATGATATATGATATAAGCTTAGTGTAGCTTTTGCATAGCTTTTACATAAGCAGCTTCTGGCTGAAGCTTTTAGATAACTACTTTAAAAAAAAAAGCAGTTGAGTGTTTGGCTGTAAAACTATTAGAAGTGCTTTTTAATATAAGAGGTTGTGTAAAATGACTATAAATGACTTATAATATAAAATATGAATAAAAATTCTAAACAATAAAAAGTAGTCAAAATGGATCTTGTTAGATTTCTTTTATATTAAATAATATGATTTTATAATTTATTTTATTTTTAAAATGATATACATGAAGGAAAATTATATTTTCTGAAATAAAATTAAAATATGGTAAGGATAATCTTGTATTTTCAAAACAGCTTTGCGCAGAAGCTCCAAATCGGAGCTTCTGCTTTTATGTTATACAAAAGCGCTTTTCGGCTTTTCAAAAGCCGAGCTTTTACTGGTGTTTGGCCCTGCTTCAGCTTTTGAACCCAAAAGCACTTCTAAAAGTCGGTCCAAACATAGGGATAATCCAAATCCGAAGAGAACCCTCGAACTCGGATGATATGACCAAAGTACACAGCCTTCCTTCTTTTTAAGAATTTTTGAAGCTTTTCTCCAACTTGAACAACTTGAAATGAAAGATGGGTTATAGGTATAATATGCCCTTCTACTATGACGTTTTATCAAGGATGCCATTCTACTATTTTTTACATCAAACATGCCCCTATACTTTGTAAAAATGATCAAACATGCCATTTTGTTCAAATTTTGTTCCAAAAACCATTAACCAAGGTCGAACTTTTGTTTGGGCGGCACAAATGTCTAAAATATCCCTAATAATTTCACTTTAGAATTTTTTTTGTTCTTTTGTATAGCCAAATAATTCAAATAATTTCACTTTGAAGAGACCCAGAGAAATAAAACGGGAGACAAAAGTGACATTTTCGCTCTCATTTGCCGATTTCGGTTTGTCTAAATCTCGGTTCAACCATGATTGACGATTTTTTCAATGGAAATTTTGACAGAAGGGCATGTTTGATAACTTTTTCAAAGTAGAGGGGCATGTTTGATGTAAAAAAATAGTAGAGAGGCATGTTTGATAAAACGGCATAGTAGAGGGGCATATTATACCTATAATCCATAAAAGATAGATGCGGAATTAATCGGACAATCCCAACTCGTGACAAAGGGCAATTGGTACATTAAACCAATCAGACATAATCAACTCGTGGAAATGGGCAATTGATATAGGGTAGATGCTCGTCACAACTAGACGCGTTCTCTAGTTGATAAGAGACTCGTACAATCTCCTGGAATCCTCGACAAAAGTCTTGCACAAACGTTCACAAAGGAACACGAGTAAAAACTCTTTAATTGATAACTTGAATGTTGGGTACCAAATTTGTAGGTCTTACACCCTCTATTTATAGAGGTCTCAAAAACATAGATCTAACATAAAAGAAATAGGAAAATAAATGCCAAACTAACTAGAAAACATAATACCAGGGGTGGCAGTTCGGTTATTTCGATTATAACCGGTAACCGATCGGCCGGTTATCGGTTAACCGAAATAACCACTCCCCCTACCGAAAACTGTCCGAAATAGACTTCGGTTTTTCGGTTATCTCGGTTATCGGTTAACTAAACCACTTTTAAAACCAAAAACCATTTCGTCCAGCCTCCGATAAGTGATAACCGGCCGGTTAACCGATAATCGGTAACCGAACTGCCACCCCTACGTAATACTAATTTAATAAGGGATAAAACTACTAATTAAACTTGTAAATAACCTAATTAAATAATTAAACAAACATAACCAAAATAAGCACATCACGTGCTGAAACTTTCCTTCTCCTTCACGGAATGGAGAATTCCGTTCCGCCCAATTTTCCTTAGCAGTTGCGGACACAATTCTTCTACTCTCTCGAGGAAACAACTTCCTCCAATTCTCCGGAAGGATGTTCGGGATAATCGGATAGGGGCAATTTTGAAAGAGATAGTCAATTTTTTGCTTCAAACATAGGTTTTACAGTACGATTTGTAGGTCGACGAAACAATAGGGTAGCTCATTTAGTAGTTAGACAGGCCTTGTCTTTGTTCTCGACTATATGTCGTTCTTTTAATTTTCAGACCTGGCTGAATTCCAGAATATAACGATCTATTGTTCTCAATCTATATGATTATCTTTTGTTAAAAAAAAGTAATTGAGCTGTTGGCTTGCGTTGCGTGTCCTTTTGAGTTGGAATTAATTTGTCCACCAACGAATAATTCATCAACCATTATTCCATGTCACCACTTCCGTCCCCATCCAACAAATAATTACCAGCTAACTGTGGATTTAATTACAATTAACCTAATGTAAGTACATCCATGCCACACGTCCACCACAACTCATTAATTGCAATTGACGTGCAGCAGCGTCAATTGTCCATTAAGCACGCAACCAATTGATCCTTATATCGCCGAATCTGAACTTTCAGTTTTGGACCACAAGAATTGAATATCATGATAGTCGATATCGCATCACCATGATTAATAATGTAGGAAGAGGAAGTTATAGAAGAAACAAGTTTGAACTTTGACTATTGGGAACCAAATCAACCGTTGATGGTGGATCCTCACTTCTAAAACATATAAAATCACACCAACACTTAATTTCATATTTGACAAAAATAACGATAATAATGGCTATGATGCATCGGGAAAGGCTAGCATGGTAACATTTTTTTGTTAGCATTGTGCTAACATTAGCTCCAGCCAATAGAAACATTTCTTTTGGATGACTTTTTAATTTAAATGAGTTGACTTCAATTAATGAAGGGAAAGAGAAGGAGAGACACGTTTGGTATTATGAAAAAATTTGGGAAGGGGAAGAGCCGAAGAGGGATTCACGTGTGTTTATACAATTAAATGGGAAAGTGGTGGAGGATCACAAAATCCACACCACAAAATCTAGACCACAAACCACAAGTTTATCAAAGCACAAAACAAATTTCTTGAATCAAACCACAAATTTATAAAACAAATCACAAAGACATCACAAGTTTCATAAAGCACACTACAAATTTACTAAAGCAAGCCACAAGTTTCATAAAACACCCCACAAATTTACTAAAACATTACCACAATTCTCATAAAACACCCCACAAATATACTAAGGAAGCCACAAGTCTCACAAAACACCCCATAAATCTCACGAAGCAAGTTTATTCAACCCACGACAATCTCATTAGTCTCTCACAATCACCCATTTACAAAATCAAACTAACTGTATATATCCACACCACAAAACCCATAGCAATTTTATACTACTGCTACTATTAGTTCAACCAGGGCGGAAACATGGGTTTTGGGAGTGTGCTAAGACACCACTAAATTTTGGGAAACAATTATTCAATCCTCGGTAGTAGTTTCGTACGGATATAAAAAAATATAATTGGTAAATTGGGAAACTCCTAAAATATGAAAAAAATAATTATCCCACCTCCGGTAGTAGTTTGCATGATAATCTATGTTATTCAAACCTAGGACACTACTATTATTAAACATATTCTCCATTAGATTGCAACTCATTTGTTGCTATATGTTAAACACTATGTAATAGTAAAAACGTTATTCCTTATCCCCACTATTTTGAAAACCTAACAATTAAAATAATTATGGGTTACCCTTGATTTGAATTGATTTATGGTTACACTGCAAGTGTAGAAAATCTTTTTAACTTTAAGTTATATAAAGAACAAAGTTAGATATCGAATATGCGATCAATTCGTGAATTATTGTCTAGTAGAATATACATGTTTGTTGACCAATGTAGACACCGAATTTATTTTATATTCTTTTTTCAAAATAAGAAAACATGGCATGGCCTTTTGGTAAAATTTGTACTAGTCATTTTCTGATTTATGAATTATTTAATTTAATTTTTGGAGGACACCCCTGTAAAAAAATTTCCTCAATAAGTTTAACAATCCTTTCTTCTCCCCACGATCGATGCCATCGCCACCCAACTTTGTTTTTATTAATTCCATCATTTTAATCTGGTCAGCTTAATTTCCAATGGAGCTCAATCCTCCTCGCATCCCAGCGCGCAATGCTTTACCAAACACAATCAACAGTCGTTCGACTTTTAGCAACTCCGTTGCTCTTTCAATTTCTGGAACTATGTTCTAATCAATTTCCTGTACTCAAATGGCCAGTTTGTGGAGCAACCTAGATTGAAAACCGTGAGTAGCAAGCCCGACAAATTTTCAGCGGCGGGAGTCGACGGAAGCTACGTATTAAAAGTGGCTGGAAGGAAAGGGAGCCAATCAGGGGCGGCGCGGCTAACGATGATGCGGTGGATTGATCATCGGCAATTGGATTCGACGTTGTGGTTCACGAGGTTGGAATTGGAGCGAAGGGCGATGCAGCGGACTAATATATCGTTCTTCATAACGTTAGTAGGGGTTAGGGTAAAATATCTCCGTTGCCACTTAAGTTTGAGAATTGGGGTGAACATATCACTTAAGTTTAAATGGAGTGTCGGGTACCACTGAACTCTATTATATGTACATCCGGTACCACTTAAGTTTACAACTAAGTGCATTCCATTAAAGTTGACGAATATTTTTGGAATATTCCATTTTCTAAATTTCATAATTGGTCATTCTACTTTTCTTATTGTAAAAAATCATTTGGACTTATGAAAACTATCATTTTTTATTGTTTAGTTAGATTCCTCTTTTATTCACTTGATATCAAACCAATTTTTGAAATTTGGAATCAATAATCATTATAATTATTTTCAATTATCATTATGTGTTATAATAATTGAATTATTCCATGAATGTTGTAACTAAGCATCGTTGTAGCTTTTATAGTCATATTTTCTTTTTATATTTTTTACCGAATGTTGTAGCTTTTATATTTAATTTATAATTTGGTTACTTTCCATCTCTTTTCATTCTAAATTTTTTCAAATAGTGGAATATGTTTATTTCTTTCTGATTGTGTTCCATTTATCCTTCTTTGATTTTGATGTATTGATGATCGATTAGATTCTATTTTAACTATTTCTATTGGTGCTTCTAATTGAATTAGTGATTTTATATAGATATTCTAATATTGATTTTAAATATTTATTATAATATTCCAGTATATTTATTATTCTTCTTGATACACGTTTATTATTTTTACGAATTTATCTATTTTATTGAAAAAATTTGATTAGTCTTCTAGTAATAATATGTTTAGAAGGTTTTCTAATTATTATATTAGATAAAACTTGTTGAAATATAGTTTTGGATGTGCTTAAAAGTTTTGGGTATCAAAAGTAATTAAAAGTTTGGGTTGGATGGAAAAGTAAACGGATGCACATTTTGGCGACATTAATGATACCCGACGTCCGATTCAAACTTAAGTGGTATGTCTACCGCAATTCTTAAACTTAAATGATCCGAGATATTTTACTATAAGATATTAGCACCCTATCTATCTCAGTATCTCCTCCCATAATGAGTCCCTCCATGTGGTCATCTTATTTTCCTCCCATTTTTCACTTTTTGTCATATTTTCTAAATACATATTTTTTCTTCCCACTTTTTACAAATTTTGAACATTTGATCTTAGTATAGAGCCAAAAGTAGGAAAACCCCATAATTTTCACATGTTTACTTGGATCTAAAATATATCTACGTAATTAGAGGTCAACAATGTTTTCACACTTAATAAAGAGATGGTGCAATAAGCAAGAGATCTTATGACTAATCATTTTAAATTCAAAAAATAAACAAATAAGTTAATAAACATTTTCCATCTAAAAGGAAATTGATCTACATATGATCATATTTTATGCTTCTACTTTTTGTTATTTAGATCTGGTATTTATATTCATTATTAGTTAGTATTCTTTTTCTACATTTTAAAAATATTATTGTTAAATATACTATTTAGCTCACCACTAGTTGATCCATGCATATATTGTGGTCACAAACACCACAAACTTTGGTAAACATTAACGATAGTGTACATTATTATCAGAAATACGACAATGTTAACATAGAATTTATGAACATTTGTTATGCAATTTTTATTTTCGTAGCAATGGTGCATCAATGATAACATAGCAATCATTCATGAGCATAACACATTATCCTTCTTGAAATATTTTATTTTAGCACTACCGGTGGAAGATTTTTACATAAAAAAATTATCACAAAATTTTATTGATAAATATTTTGAAAAATCTATTTTGTTTCTAACAACAGATCTGGAACTTGAAACCCTAAAGCTTGTATTGATTTGTCTAAAGGATTACAATATATATGAGATGTTCTAGTGCTAGCAGACAAGGTTCAAGGTACATGTTTGTAGTTTTCTTGAAATAGAAACAAACTCTGACTTGAACTAAAAGCAAACAACGTTACAGGAGAAAGTGGAACGACAGCGTCTTGGGAAAACATCAAAGTGGAACGGCAGCGTTGCAAGGAAACGATGCGCAGCGCCAAAGGGAGTTGGAGAAGATCAAAACGCAGCACATCAGGTCGTCTTCTTTAGTTGAGAAACAAAAGGTAAAGTGCAGATAGCCGTTGGCTTTGAAATTCAATTTCTCTGCGATGTTACCCCCCCCCCCCCCCGGCAAGCTGGTGGGCATAGATTATGCACACCAAGTTTCGAGAAGAGCTGTAGAAATGGCGCTGGGGACAATGGTTTGGTGAATAAATCGGCAAGTTGGTGAGTCGATGAGACATGGAGCAATTTCAAGATGCCTGATTGAAGCTTCTCTCGCACAAGATGACAATCGAGCTCTATATGCTTGGTGCGTTCATGGAAAGTGGGATTCTGAGCAATGTGAATTGCACTCTGATTGTCGCAATACAACAAAGCAGGTTTTGGATGGTCAACCTTGAAGTCACGAAGGAGAAAGAGGAGCCATTGGATCTCACAAGCAGTATAAGCCAGAGCCCTGTACTCTGCTTCGCAAGAGGAACGAGAAACGGTCAGCTGCTTCTTGCTTTTCCAGGAGATCAAGGAATCGCCGAGGTAAACACAATATCCTGTTGTTGATCTTCTTGTTTCGACACAAGCCGCCCAATCTGAATCAGTAAAGGCTTTCAATTGTAAAGAGCCAGTGCTAGGTAGGAATAGACCAGTGGCAGGTGCAGTTTTGAGATAGCGAATGATTCGGAGAGCATATTTGTAGTGGGTAATGGTGGGAGTAGACATATACTGGCTGAGCTGCTGTGTAGCAAAACTGATGTCAGGTCGAGTGGTTGTGAGATAGATCAGCTTCCCAATCAATGTTCTGTAATGCTCTGGGTCAGAATAAGGTGTGTCAACTGAACTAGATAGATGCAATTTGTAGTCCATGGGTGTAGTGACTGTTTTGGAATCTAAAACACCTGCTTCCTCACTAATCTCCAAAGTATATTTTCTCTGTGACAAATGAATGCCTTTGTTGTTCCTGGCAACTTCAGTGCCTAGGAAAAATCTCAGAACCCCCAAATCTTTAATACTGAAGGCAGTGTGTAGAAATTGCTTGAGGAAATTGATCTCTGTAATGTCATTTCCACCAATGATCAGGTCATCCACATAGATCAGAATGCAGGTGTAAGAAGTCTCAGTAGCTTTGTAGAAGAGGGAATGATCAGCCATGCTTTGAATATAACCTACTTCCTGCAACTTGTCTGTTAATTTTGAAAACCATTGACGAGAGGCTTGTTTAAGACCATAGAGTGATTTCCTTAATCGACAAACAGGATGAATATAGCCTGGAGGAGGATCATAACCTTTAGGAAGTGTCATGTAGACTTCTTCTTGTAAGTCCCCATGTAAAAAGGCATTGTTTACATCCAATTGATGTATGTGCCAATTTCTGATTGATGCAATAGCCAAGAATGTCCTGATGGTTGTCATTTTGATGACTGGGGCAAAAGTATCCTGGTAATCCACTTCCTCTTGTTGGGAATTTCCCTTGGCAACTAGTCTAGCTCTCCTTCTGTCTAGTGAACCATCAGAATCAAATTTTGACTTATAAACCCACTTGTTGCCAATTGGCTTCTTCCCAGCAGGCAACTCAACTACATCCCATGTATTGTTCTTGAGCAAAGCTGTGATCTCATGTTTCATGGCATGATTCCACTCTTCTAATTGAGAAGCCTCTTTAAAAGTTTGTGGATCATGGTGGGATAAAATGTTAAGCAGGTAGTGACGAAAGTGTGGCTCAAGAGAATTATAGGATATAGTAGAGGATAGATCAAACCTGTTGTCTTGGAGCTGATGCATTGAATTGTGAGCTGGTCTGCTAGAATGTTGAGCAAGGTAACAATGATAGTTCTTAACAAGATGAGAAGGAGGTTTAACATGTCTACTGGATTTTCTTGTGGGTAAGGGTTGAGAAGGAGTAGGTAAAGTTGTTGGCTGAGTTGAAGAGGAAGAAGGGTTGATAGGTTGAGGAGGGTCAGGAGGCTGAGAGGAAGGAGAGGGATGGGGGAAGGGTCAGGAGTAGGAGATGGAGGATCAAGAGGAACATTAGGTGAAGGAGAAATGTCAATGTCATCAGTGAAGGGAGGAGAAGATGTAGAGGGAAGGGGATATAAGTGATCAGAAGTAGAATGAGTCACATCATCAGAGGAAATGGTTTTGAAGGGAAAATGGGATTCATAAAAAATGACATCCCTGGAAATGAAAATGTCATGAGAAAGGATGTCATAGATTCTGAATCCTTTGATGCTAGGGGAATAACCAAGAAAGACCCCTTTTCTAGCTCTAGGTTGAAATTTGGTTCTGTGATTTCCTAGAGTACTAGCAAAACAAAGTCTGCCAAAGACTTTTAAGTCTGTTAGGTCTGGAGGCTTATGATAGAGGAGTTCAAATGGAGTTTTGTTGTTCAGAATGATAGAAGGCACTCTATTTATGAGGTAGACAGCATGTTTGACACAGTCTCCCCAAAAACTAGGTGGCATAGAAGCTTGGAAAGAGAGGGCTCTAGCAACTGAAAGAATGTGTTGATGTTTTCTTTCAACTTTGCTATTTTGTTGTGGGGTTTCAAGACAAGACTGCTCATGAATTATACCAGTAGAATGAAAATAATCATCCATTTGGAATTCCTTAACTACAGGAAAAATCACTTTTGATCACGGGATTTCCCGTGACAAAACAGTCAATTCCCGTGACGCAAAGTTTTTATCACGGTATATTCCAGTGTCAAGCATGCCCGTGATCAAAGGTCAAATATCACGGGAAATCCCGTGACAGTAAGGAATACAATAACAGGAAAATTCTCGTGACATAAGATCTATTTTATCACAGTATTTCCCGTGACTAATATTTAAACACGGGAACAAAATAATGAGATAGTCACAGGATATCCCGTGACTAATGGGATCTTTTGTCATGGGATTCTATCAAATTGTCACAGGATTGTAGTGATCGTAATCAAGTTAAAGCACTGTTAAATTTCCATATTTTTATTACATACTTGTATTTTTTTAGTAAGTTACCTAATTAAATTTAACATCAAGAGCAATTCAAATACATTAATAAAAAATCTTACAAATGAATGAAATTTTAAATACAATTTATAAATTTTAGTCTCATAATATCAATATAAACATCTTTAAATGTAGAAGGAACTGATGAATGTTCCTTTGGAGAACACTCAAGTAGCCTAAAATGTAATACAACTTGTTCTAGTTACAAATTGCAAGTACTTCTCATGGACTAAAACTTCCTCCAATCAAGCCATATTGACGCTATCTGCAAGCTGCAAAAAATTCAAAAAGTCAAAACCCAGTACATCTCAAACTCCGACTTTGCTTAGCAAGGTTCAAAGAGAATTTTCGCAGATTTGATTCTTTGGTTTATAGCTATCATATACATGCAGATTGTTAGATCACATGCAGAAGAGAACAAAAGTATCTTAGCTAATGGATTCTAGTTTCTAATGATTTAAATACACTCGTTTTAGTTCAATTACCATAGTAGAGTAAATTTCAATTGCTTGACAAGTGTAAAGGTGGATGAGAACATGAGAACATCCAATCCACCTGAATTTGGGACAAGCATTACATTTATAAAAATAAAACCCAGTCAAAGTACTGTGGGAACCAATAAGGTGACAAAAGGAATTGCAGGTATGGAACGTTTAGCTCTACTGTGCGTTCGTACATGAGTTCTTATCATGCCTGACAATTTTCAGTCATAAAAGAAAAATGCAGCTCAAGTCCTACATAAAGACTGAAGATAAAAATGTCTTAACAATTTGTCACTGAATGATGCCCAAACATAACAAGGTTCGCATGATTTTCAAGCATATCTAGTTCTAACTTCTTATGAAAGTTGTTATGTTCTGGAAAATACTTACAAGCATTTCATGCCAACTGCTTATATCGATTCAAATTACAACGGAACAAGACTCTGGCCAGTTGCTTTACTTCAAATGCTGACAACAATGGGTACCATATCATCCTAGGAAAAAGAAAATCATAGTCACCAGCAATCGCAAAAAGGAAATACAATCACAATCCACACCAAAGGATGATAGGAACGCATTAATCATATTCCAAATCACATGAAGTATGCTAATCGACCAGTAATGCACGTTTATTTTAGATTCCATGCCCATTCTACTGTATCCAAAACAAGGTGTTAAAAAGACAGAATCCCCACCAGTATGCAACCAAAGCTACTAGCACCCAACACAAACAATAAGGCTCACCCGGAAGCTGCTATACCTCACCGGCCACACCAAAAAGCAGAGGATCACAACCAGCTAAATCCAAGCCAAGCTGCAACAGAGCTACACTGCATAGACATCATTAGCTCGCCTCAAGGTCCTTCTCTCGACGAATCTGCAAACAGAAAGTTCAGAGAAACAAAGAGGTAGGCGAATTGCCCACTCCTTAGACCAGAATCCAGGGACGGAGAAGGATGCTACGATGAGAGAAATCATTATACCTTTGCAAAAAGGCGATATAGATAGGAAAAATAGAAGAGGCAAATCGGGTGATTATCGGCCAGTCAAGCTATCTCCTGGCAGCAGAAAATCGAAACCCAAACTTGTCCTTCCTTCCTTCCTAGGTTTCACCACTCAAAACAAAATAAAAAGAGCTTTATTTAAAAACCAACTCTTAAGCAATTAAACTCGACTTGGTCAGATTCGGACAAACAAAGAAGAAGGAAATGCTTTCAGTTCAGAAACAGAGAAATTGCAGATCTTAAAAACACACCTTGAAATGAACATGGAGATCAAAACCCCTAGCCTTGCAAGCTGAAAACACAAAAGCAAAAGGACAGGTAAACGAACCGTCAAAGACATTCTTACCCTGCAAACGAGAATAAAAAGACTTGTAATCGGAAAAACCCTAAGCGCGGGTCGTGAACTTACACTTGGTCGGGTTCTCGGGCTCTCTCGAGTGCTTCACCTGAAAACACAAAAGCAAACAGCGAGGGATTAGAGAAACATGAGATTCGATGGAGGAATGGAGAGATCGGACAAAAGGAGAAGCGAAGGACTGCTAACCATGGCGGTAGGCGGCAGCTGGAGTGAAGATGAGGGGTCTGCGATTTTCTTGTTCTAAAAGAGAGTTGGGTTTTGCTGAGAGATTGGTAAAGTTAGATGAGAGATGAAATAAAAAATAAACATAAGCCAAAAGAGAGAGGCGGGGACTTGAAATTTTCAGGGCAAAAAATTTGGGAGAAGCGCAAACCTTCCCGCCTATCCTATTTTCGTTCCCTCCACTCCAAAAGTCACGGGAATCCATCCTAACTCTTACTTAGCAATCAATGGTCACAGTAAATTCACCCCATGACAAATAGCCCATTTTCGACCACGGTAGCTCACCCGTAATATAAAGTTCTCGTGATTAAATGTCTGTTTTCTTGTAGTATTCCCTTGATCACTTCTAATCCTTTTAATGTTAACTTGAAACTGCCTTTGCATTTGATTGTAAAAGGCAATCATCTTAGGTCTGGCTTCTGATTTTAGAGTGAGGAGAATGATCCAAGTCATTCGAGTATGGTCATCAACAATAGTGAGAAAATATTTGTAACCATCATGAGAAGGAACAGGGTTTGGACCCCAAATATCAACATGAAGCAGTTCAAAGGGATACAAAGTTACACTTTGACTGGAAGGAAAAGGAAGCCTTCTTTGCTTTGCAAAGTGGCAAACACCACAAGGCTGATCTCTCTGAGTTTAATGGAGGTACAAAAAAGGTTAAGGTGAGGGATTTTTGAATGGGAGACATGGCCCAAACGAAAATGCCAGAGATCAAAATTTGAAGAACTAACTGCTGAAATGTGCTTATGTTTACTATAGCCTTCTAGGTAGTAAAGTCCATTGAGTAGTCTAGCAGAACCATTCACTTTCCTCTGCATCAGATCCTGTATAAGACAAAGGTTAGAATGGAAGGTTAAGGAGAGTGAATTTGTGGTGGTTAATTTGCTGACAGAGACCAGATTGAAAGCAAAATGAGGAATGTAGAGAACATCCTCTAAGGTAAGTGAGTCATTAAATTATGTTGTGCCAGAATGTGTGGCTTGTATATGCTCACCAGTGGGTAAGGTAATGTAGACATTCTCAATGGGATTATAGTTGTGTAAGTGGTCAAGAGAGCAAACAATGTGATCAGAGGCTCCAGTATCTAGAATCCATCTGTCATTTTTGTGAAGGCTAGCATTCATAACTGGAATTGATAGAAGGCATGAAGAAGTAGTACCTCTACTGGAGACAAAAGCAGCTGAATAAGAGGGTTGAGATTTCTGTGAGTTCATCAAGCTCATGAGCTTATCATAGTCAGATTTAGTCAGCTTCACTTCATCTTCTTGATGGACAGTTGGAGCAATATGTGTAGATTGAGATCTGGGAACATAATCAGGAGGAAAACCATGTTTTTTGAAACACTTATCTTCAGTATGGCCTTGCTTCTTGCAAAAGGTGCACTCAATCACTCTTGGCTGTTGAGGAACAGAGTTTCTAGGGATGTAACCAGGTGGCCAGCCATGTTTTGAGTAACAAACATCTTCAGTGTGGCCTTCTTTTTTGCAGAAAGTGCAAAATGGTCTCTTGGTAGTGGAGAAAGGTCTTCTGTTGGGGGCTTGTAAAGCAAGAACAGATGGATCTGTGGTGACTGAGGCTACCATTTTGCCAGTTTGAGTACCATAAAGCTGCCTTTCATGCTGGAGTAATCTTTGAAAAACTCGGTTGATAGTTGGGAGTTCCTCCCCAAACAGAACTTGAGAACGAACCCCAGAAAAATTTTCATTGATGCCTCGAAGGAACTTAATGACATAGCTAGTGTCATGGTATTCTAGCACCTTTTTCATGGCTCGACAGTCAATGTGACTAGTAGGGGTACAATCACAGGGGAGAAGTGGTTGGTAGTTATCCAGTTCATCCCTAAGTGTGATTACTCTACCATAATACTCAGTAATGGTTTGGTTACCTTGTTTCAGGGTAGCAAGAGCTTCTTCAATTTCTGCAACCCTGATGATGTCACCAGATCCATATCTTGTTTGCAGGCTGCGCCAAGCTTTAGAAACAGATTTGCTGGAGAGGATTGTCTTTCTGATTTCACCTTCAACTGACTGCTGAATCCAGCTAAGTATCATCACATTGTTGCGGACCCAAGCACCATGCTTTGGATCTGTTTTTGGTGGTTCTGGTATGGTTCCATTGATGAACCCAGTTTGTTTTTTTGCAGCTAGAGCGTTGTACATTGCGCGGATCCAATCATTGTAGTTGGTAGTGGAAAGACGATCAGCAACCAGGAGTGAGCCAGGTTGCTCTGAACCATGAAGGAAGTAAGGATCTTCCATCTGGTAAGTAAGTGTGTGGTGGTGGAGGTGCAGCTGCTGCTGCATCTGATTCGTTTGCCATTGGCAGCGCCTAGGGTTTCACAGGCTCTGATACCATAACAACAGATCTGGAACTTGAAACCCTAAAGCTTGTATTGATTTGTCTCAAGGATTACAATATATATGAGATGTTCTAGTGCTAGCAGACAAGGTTCAAGGTACATGTTTGTAGTTTTCTTGAAATAGAAACAAACTCTGACTTGAACTAAAAGCAAACAACGTTGCAGGAGAAAGTGGAACGACAGCGTCTTGGGGAAACATCAAAGTGGAACGGCAGCGTTGCAAGGAAACGATGCGCAACGCCAAAGGGAGTTGGAGAAGATCAAAACGCAGCACATCAGGTCGTCTTCTTCAGTTGAGAAACAAAAGGCAAAGTGCAGATAGCCGTTGGCTTTGAAATTCAATTTCTCTGCGCTGTTAGTTTCTGAACAATCAAACAGAGTGACATTATCTTAACTAAAAATATTTGTGAAATTTTGAATAAACCATAGTTTGGCCAACCTTAACTAGTTTCCTTTAGGCGTTTTCAAATTTTCCTACTAATGGGCTAAGTTGCCAACATTATCAATTGAGCGTGTCTCACAATCTTCAATTGTACATGTCTCGATCATCAATTGTCGAATGCACACAAAAGTCGAAATATAGAAAAATTATTGTCGCCGACCGCTAGTTACTAATTGCATAATGCGCAATCTCATAGTGTCAACAAATACTAACGCCCAAGCCTATCATCCTCCTTCCTTCCTAACTCAGTTGTTCGGTAGTTATAACTTTTCACTATAATTACTTCTTATCATTTACAAATCAAGTCTTTTGGCTGCTTTTGTCTTTCCTTCCATTATGTTTTGAAAGTTACATAAGTGGGCCGGGCCGAGAGATGAGCTTTCCGTTCCCGATTAGGTTACGAAATAGGATTTGGGTCGTTGACAAGGTTGGACCCTTGGGGCGATTTGGACAAATCAAAGAATATGATTTCTTTTCGGTAAAAATGATTCTCTATCGGATATACTTATTAACGACGACTTATGGTCGTTGCTAGTCATTGGTATTGTTTCATTCAAAACTCAATTATTTTTTACTATTTGAAACCAAGTTCAACTGTTGATGGTTTATCATTGCTTCTAAAACACATCAAATCACAATAACACTTGATTTCTTAAAAAAAGAAATTATGGCAAGGAGGACTGACTGCACGTGCGCACCCCTCCCTCTAGTCATCTTCTTTTCCTCTCATTTCCCACTTTTTATCTTTTTTATTTAAACTAGCTTTGATTCCAGCCAATTGGCCGTAACCCAAAACTGTTTTATCAGATACTTTGGTTTTCCTCCAACTATAATTTTTTGACACACGATCGATTTACGTATGTTGTTGGTAAAAATGGAATGATATTAATATAGTTTTGTATCTTAGTATAATGTGAATATAGTTTTGTATCTTAGTATAATGTGAATTTATTCCAAGGTATGGTGATATATTAGTCAATTGTTTATGGTGATATAGAACCGAATGATATTAGCATAGTTTAGTAACTCTGCTAATAGGAAAGTGACACGTGAATACGTGATTGTGACGTCTATTTGTATTTTTTTCAACATATATCAAAACGAATATCATTATGTATATTACAAAAACATGATTTTCAGGCGTAGAAAAACTAATTTTAGAATTGAAATAAAAGAATTACAGGTCGATTAAAATAGTAGTGGAAATGAAAACTTAGGAGTAATAAATTTAATTTAAAAATAAATAAATAAGGTAACAAACAATTTTCATCTAGAAGAAGATTCAAAAGATGACCATATTTATTGCTTCTACTTTTTATTCGGTAGATTTGATAATTATATTTTTTATTATCTAGTGTTCTTTTTATATATTTTTTATAATTATTCTTGAATATAAAAATTAGTTCACCACTAGTTTTTTAACTAAGGGAAGCAGTGGTAGAGCCAGTATTTCAAAGTACATGTGTCCTCTTTTCAAAATATAAAAAATATGAAATATAATAAAATAAATTATTCATATAAATCAATTAATACAATCATTTTTTCGTAAACAACCATGACACATTTTCATATTCTGAGTTAAACTAAATTTATGTCAGCTTTTAAACAAGAAATGTCTTGCAATTTAGTAGTATAACACTTTGATATTACCTAGAAATCATGAATTCAATACTTAGTTTATACATATATAGAATAATTTTTTTACCCCAAAAACTACCTGTGTCCTATGACACGTCCTAACTCCCTTGGCTCCGCCTATGAAGGTAAGCCCCATGGCATGGTCGGACAACAAACACTTTGACATCGAGCGTCAAGTTGCATAAAAACAAATGTTCTCTATTCTTTCTTTTAAATTTGTTGTTTGGCTCACCATTAGTTGACCCATATATATTTGTGACGACAATATCTTGTCGTCATGAACACCAAAAACTTTTGTAAGCATTACCGAGAGTGTGCATGTTCATGAGAAATATGACAATGTTGACACAATATTTTTAAAAACTTGTTATGCAAGTTTTATATTCGTAGCAATGGAACATCACTAATAAGTAATAACATATCACCCATGGTCCTTGAGCATTACACATTTCTAGCTTTGTTGTCGATTATTGGCCAGGTTATTTTTTACAATTTTCAATTATTCGGATTTATATTTAAACTATTTTGGGCAAGTTTTTGGATTGATGTAATTTACTTGTAATCATAATTTTTTTTATATCATAAGATGCACTTTAAATTTATCTAAGTTTTTAGGCAAAATACACCTGTGCAGCCAAAACATTGACGGTTTGGCCAAATATAGCCTGTTTTGGCGACATATCAAAAATAGCCACTTCCATCCAATTCTTTGATGGTGTGAATTAATGTGTTGACTGTACTAACGGATCGTTTGATCTAGCAATTTTTATCTAGTACGTATTTCCCACGTGGGTTTAATTAAAATAAAATAAAAATATTAGGTGGAAAATAATAATAAAAATAATTAATTATTTTTATTTTCTCTCTCTTCCCATCTCTCTTCCCTCCCTTCCCCAACAAAATCTCCCGTTCCCCAAATTTCCCTCCCCGAACCATCTTTCTTCCTTCCCCTTCTCATAGAACAATCGCTGGCCACCAGGAACAGAGATCTGACGGCGTCGGCGTTGCATCAAGAGTGACGGTTGGGGGCAAGCCTAGTGGATTTGACGGTACTCAATCGGCGGTTGGGGGCAAGGCCAACGGATTTGGGACGCTTCTTTTCTTCGTTTTCTTTTTCTTCTCTCCTCTCCTCATGGACATGTTTTTCCAATTTCTTTTTGGTTGCTTTTTAAGATAGTCGTCACCAGCCCATCACCCACCACCAAATCCCCAATTTCAAGTAGTTGTCTCTCTCGTACAGAAAAATCATCCCTTTTCAAATTCCTTCTTCTTCTACACATTTACCATATTGTTACGTTGCTTTGCTTGTTGTGAGTTACATGGAGTGGCAGGACAAGAGACTTTCAAATTCCTTCTTCTTCTACACATTTACCATACTGTTGCGTTGCTTTGCTTGTTGTGAGTTAAGGTAAAAGACATCAGCGGCGGTGAATCCTATTCCACCGCTACATCCATTTGCCACCCACAAATCATTCTTTGCCACTGAACTCAAAACCAACCACCGTAGCTACCTCTTTCGATTTGACTACCTTCTCCAATTGTTGATTCGATGCGCAAAAGAGATGGGTACCATTGACTCGCAGCTCCTCGTCGTCGCCTGTTCCTCGGGGATCGCCGTGCAAAATCCAAAGCCTAGCGGCGGCTGCTCCAACTCCTTGCAGATCCATATTCTTCCCCTAGCGGTGGCTTCTCCAACTCCTCTGTCGGCGGACAGACAAACGTTATCGGAGCTGAAGGGGGTTTCGAGATTCAAGAGCTTGTGTGGATTTTGGTGAGGGCTGGTGGCGGCGGAGGAGAGGCAGAGGAAGGTGTATTCCGATTGTGATGGGAATGGCGGAGTGGTTTGCGATAGGGGAGAAACGATTTTCCTTTATTTGTTTTTTTTTTAAATTTTCCTTTCTTTCTTTATGATTAATAAATGAATTTTTCGTTTGTTTTTAAATTAAAAATATGACGTGTCACCTACGTGGTGAATGTGGCTGATTTATTGTTGACGTGTCCGATGATTTGGCGTCCTAGTCAGCCTAACGTTAAACTAATTGACGGAGTCTCTAACACCGTTAAAGTTTGTAACGGAAATGGCTATATTTGGCACAAAAGTTTCAAAATTCTGGCTATAAGTGGTATTTCTCCAAATTTGGTTGTTATTGTTACAAGTGCGAAAGTTTTGGCTATACTAGTGTATTTTGCCAATTTTTTATTTGATATCGATTTTGTAAATGAAATGAAAAGTTAAAAATATTATAAGTAACATATTAAAAATATTTGACGGCATAGTAGTCTTAATTTTGTTATAGTAATTAATACATGAGTTTATCTAATTAGTTTTGTATTTAATATCATCAAACATAATTTGTCTAACTAGTTTAGACTTTACACTATAATAATCTAAGCTTTGTTGGTTGTGTGTCCGAATCCTAATTGCCCTTATTTATTTGTTCATTTTTTTAGTTAGTGTTGAGTTGAAAAACTAAAGAAAATGACATGGAAAATCAATGCTAAGTGGAAGGTTGAGAGGGGAGAAAATTTGAAGTGTTTATTTGGAAAGTGCTTATTACATTATATAGATAGATCTTATTGAAATATGTTATGTTGACACTAAAAAGGGAGATTTTTTACGTAAATAAAATTATCAAAATTTTTCTTGATAAATAATTCGAAAAACCTATTTTATTTATTAACAATCAAATATTAACAATAAAGAGTGTTGGCGTCTACACCAAAAATATTTGTGAAATTTTGAATAAACCATAGTTTGCCTAACCTTAACTTGTTTTCTTCCCAACCAATTGATTGGGATTAAACTATCCCAACCAATTGATTGGGATACCATTAGAAGCCTAGAGGCGGATCTTACTCGTCAAAGGGAGGCAGAGGAGGTTTACTGGCAACAAAAGTCTCGAGTGACGTGGCTCCAGAAAGGGGACAAAAACTCGTCCTACTTCCACACGGTTACTCGAGCGAGACGAAAAAGGAATTTTGTGGCCGGTCTTCGCGATGAGAATGGAGTCTGGGTTACCGAGGAAAAGGGGAAAGCGGACATTGTTACTGATTTTTACTCAAATCTCTTTACCTCGGAGGCCCAGGTGCCTAATATGGTTGAGAGGGTTGCTACCCTCCCTATTCTTCGAAGTGTAACGCCGGATATGAATGCTGTCTTGACAGCAACAGTTGGTCCGGAGGAAGTTAGAAAGACTGTCTTTTCCATGGGGTCCAAGCAAGCCCCGGGGTCTGATGGGTTCACGGGGAAGTTCTTCAAAGCCTTCTGGGATATTGTAGGAGCCTCGGTGGTGGAAGCTGTTTGCTCGTTCTTTTTGTCGGGACGGTTACTTCGAAGCTTTAACCATACTTGGTTGACTTTGATACCGAAGGTAGATAATGTGGAGACAGTTAAACAGCTTCGGCCAATCAGTTTATGTCAATTTGTGTATAAAATTATCACAAAAATCATGGCTGAAAGGCTGGCCGGGTTACTCCCGCAAATTATATCAGATGGCCAGAATGCGTTTATCAGGGAGAGGCAAATTGTTGATAATATCCTCTTGGGCAATGAGTTGATGCACTATTTGAAACTGAAAACGCGAGGCAAGAAGGGATACATGGCTTTAAAGGTTGACATGGAAAAGGCCTATGATAGAGTCGAATGGTCCTTTCTTCTTGCGGTTTTGGATAAAATGGGTTTTAGCTTGGTTTGGCAGGAGTGGATTCATGAGTGTTTGCGGTCGGCGTCTTTCTCAGTACTTATGAATGGCTCTCCCTCGGGGTATTTCACGTCTTCGAGAGGGTTGCGTCAAGGGGATCCGTTGTCCCCCCTCCTGTTCGTTTTGTGTACGGAGGGATTTGCGGTGCTGCTGCGGAAGGCTATAGCAGAAAAGAAGCTGGATGGGGTTAAAGTCGCTCCGCGTGCCCCCAAGATCTCGCATTTGTTCTTCGCGGATGATTCTTACCTATTCCTGCGTGGTACTCTCCAGGAATGTGAAAATCTGATCGAAGTCTTAAATGAGTACGAGGAACTTAGTGGCCAGCGGGTTAATTTGGCTAAATCGGCAGTGTGCTTCAGCAAGAATATTGCGGTGACTGACCAGGAGTTCTTGGCTACTATTTTGGGGGTTGGAGCGGTTGGCGTCCATGATAAATACCTGGGTTTGCCTACGTTATTGCCAGATCTAAGATGGCGACGTTCAGGTATTTGGAGGAGAAATTATTAGAACGGTTACAAGGCTGGAAGCAAAGGACTCTGTCTTGGGCTGCAAGAGAGACTCTGATTAAGTCAGTAGCTTTGACGCTCCCATTGCACGTTATGTCATGCTTCAAACTGCCTCGCTCCCTGTGCCGTCTTTTGGACAAACATGTGGCCCGGTTTTGGTGGGGGATGGGCCGGAACATTGCAAGATCCGTTGGGTGTCGTGGCGGAATATGTGTAGGAGCAAGCATGATGGAGAGATGGGGTTTCGGAGGTTCGAGCATTTCAATCAGGCTCTGCTGGCCAAAATTGGATGGCGTATACTGGAGGACCCCCAGTCCCTGTTAGCCCAGGTTTATAAGGGTAAATATTTCCCCAGAGGTACTTTCCTGCAAGCGACGGCTCGGTCCCGTCCGTCTTGGGGTTGGCAAAGCATTTTGTTTGGTAGGCAGTTGCTGGTGAAGGGTCTCCGTTGGCAGATTGGGAATGGTAGGTCTGCTTCCTTACTCCACTCTAACTGGATTCCACGGCTCCAGCTGGATCCCCCAAGGTACAACCCTCGGGTTTTACCGGAGGGGGGAGACCCGCGGGTTGAGGAGGTCCTGTGTCCAGGTGAGGGTAAATGGTGTGACTCGAAGCTCTGCCAGTGGTTTGATCCGCCAACCTGCCATGCCATTAAAGCGATCCCGCTGCCGCGTAGAAATTTGGAAGATAAGGTGATTTGGCATGATACAGTGGATGGAGTTTTCTCTATGAAGTCTGCCTACCATCTGGCAGTCTCTCTGGATAGGAGGGAGGGGAATTGGAAGTCGTCAGCCAGTTGGATGGATAGGGCTAGTTGGATTCGCTTGTGGAATGCTGATATTCCGCCTAAGTTGAAAGTTTTTGTCTGGCAAATTTTTAACCGGGCACTTCCAACGACAGAGGCGCTTATTGCGAAAAAGGTGCCTGTCCATCCCAGATGCCCGGTCTGCTGGGAAGGAGCAGAGACGATGGAGCATCTTTTCCTGGATTGCCCGGTGGCCCGTGCCCTCTGGGGGTACTCGGGCATGGAACATCTAGGGGAGGGGTTGCCTCGGCAGACCTTCCCGTTATTTCTAAAAAGATTGCTGGGTCTGATCCAGTCTCCGGGGTTGTTCATGGCGGTTGTTTGCCTCCTGTGGCGGATTTGGCGGTCCAGGAACTGGGTTGTCTTTGAGGGTAAGCAGTTCGGTTTCCCAGCGTTGATGCGTCAATTCCATCAATAGTATGAGGAATGGGTTAGCCTATCGCCAGCGGTAGGGGCACTGCAGGCCATGTCTTCTGGAGTCTCTGTGGTGGGTGATAGCAGGGTGGTTTGTATGTGGGATGGGGCCACAAAATTGGGATCACATTCGGCTGGTGGGATGGTCCTTATGACTCCAGAAAGGGGGATCCTGTTGGTTAAGGGCATTCAGCTCCAAGGGATTGATGATCCAATGGTGGTTGAGTTGTTGGTGCTGCGCGAGGCGATCGTTTGGTGTCTCGAGTTAGGAGTAGTGGACGTCCGTTTGGAGGGGGATGCTAAAGTGCTCATTGATAAACTCAAGAGGGCGGATGCTAGAAGCAATAGGGCAGGGGCGGTGCTTGAAGAGATTATGTACTATGTTAACGCCCATCTTGGCTTGGATATTCGATTTGTAGGTCGGAGGAACAATAGGGTAGCTCATTTGGTGGCTAGAAAGGCCCTTTCTTTGTACCCGGCTATGAGTCGTCATTTTGATTTTCGGGCCTGGCTTAGCTCCAGGATGTAACTACCGTTTTTTGATATCAATATATGATTAACTTTTGTCAAAAAAAAAAAAACTTGTTTTCTTCCGTCCTTTTCAGTTTCTCCAATGTTGAATTACTACTGGGCCAAATTGCCGATGTTATCAGATTGTGTGTGTTGCTCAATCCTCAATTGTAGGTCATCAATTTTCGAATGCACACGAAAGTCTAAATGTCAAAAAACTGTCGCCACTTACATATGTAAGTCAATAATTGCTGAATGCGCAATCTCGTATTGTAAACAAGTGTTGGTGCCCGATCCCATCATCCTCCTAACCGAGTTGTTCAGTAGTAAAATTATCTCACTATTACTTCTTATCATTTACAACTCAAGTCTTCTGGCGGCTTCTGTCTCTCTTTCCATCCCCACCAAATTTTTATTGTTACAATAATATAAATCATTTTCTAATCCATATCGGCTCAAGATAGGGTGAGTAACCAAATATGGACCCTTCTTTTAAGTGGCTGTAGATCAATGGTGGAGAATTAAAGGAATTTATTTTCCCTAGTTTTCTTAATTGGATCATATCTTCTTCATTCTAACTCGGATTTCAATTTTTTTTGCACAGATAGAACGAGTCGTTGTGCTCTACAAATGATATCCATTTTCAATATTTTTTGAGAAATTTTGTTTTCATCCCTCTCGTTACCAACTCCATACCATATGGTATCTCCTTCGTTGTTTAGTCATTTTCGAAAATTTTTGCACAAAAGGAACGATTTAATCATGATCTATTGGATTTCAAAATTTTATGGGGGAAAAGATTCCATACCTCTCGTTACCAACTCCATACCATACTATAC